AGTTGATACTTCTGGAAAGCCAAGTGAAAAATTGTAACTTTGTTCATATGCTATACTGTACAGAGATGCATAAAAAGGGTGAAGCAGAATTTCCTTCCTCGTTTGCAGATTTAGTCATTTTAGATTTGAAAGAACAATTTTGGATGCCAGTGCTCAGGAAATTTGATTGTTTCAAAATCCATTTGACTGTGATGCTGCAGATGTCAAATTCAAATGGAAATTATTGAACTTCAGGAAAATTATCATATTAAAGACAAATACAAGGACGGAAATTTAATTGAATTTTATAAATTTCTGAACTCTGAGCACTTTCCAAATTTAAAGAAATTTGCTTGTAAATTTATCTCCATTTTTGGGATGACGTATCTGTGTGAACAAACTTTTTTCCCAGATGAAGTACATCAAGTCGAAATACAGGTCAAATTTATCCGATGAACATTTAAAGTCGCTACTTGTGATTAGCGTTTCAAAATTTGAACCTAAATTTAATCAGATTTTAAGAGTGCAAGAAGAGTTCCATCATTCACATTAATTGTTTTAATATAATTTGTGATGAAAATATGAGCATTTGCTGCCACTGTCTGTTGTCATTAATATACGATAATTTATTCTCACGTAGTTTGTATTTAGTTTATGAAGTTCTGTGCTTTCAATAAAACTCACATACCTAATTTCTTATTTTATCCAGCCCGTTGAAAGTTCTGAATTACCTAATGTGGCCCGCGGTTCGAAAAGTTTGGAGACCCCTGGTTTAGAGCATAACATTCTGTTAAAATATTATATTATATATTGTTTTATTTGTAAATTAATTTGTACATTGCAGTGTTATACTATATGCTGCTCTGTGTTTCAGAGATGGAATTTTCAAGCTAATGACATTTACTGATCCTGTCATTTTTATATGGCTTTCTGAAAAAAGTAGTCTGAAAAATGAACCTTGTCCTAAGAAGACTAAGTATTTTCAAAACTGTTGTTACACTTTCATGAAGCCCAATAGGATGATCAATGTATACTTCCCCAGCACTGTATTTCACTCTTAAAATGGTCCTGCCACTAAAGACAACAAAAGAAGTTAACAAGTCACAAACCAAAATGTAATAAAATCAACATGAAGGTGCTTGCGATTAAACCACAGATTAAAATACCTTGTTAGTCATATTATTTTGTAATGATAGCACTCTATCAAAGGAAAAACATTAAATGAACTACATTGAACAGAGTCCTTGAGAAGATACAGTTGCTGATCTAGTCGAGAAGTACTCTGTGTTACCATGTTCTTAAGAGACTGTAACCGTTTGTATCCTAAGTATTAAGTCATATATTGAAGGCATAATAATGAACTGTAAGAAGTGTAGGAGATAAGTGGTCTTTGTATGTTTTTAAATTCTTTCCCAGATATGTATGAAAGTGTGAACTTTTTTTGTCTGAGGACACATCATTGTATCCAGTATATTATTTTGAAAGATATGCAGCTTTTGTCAAGATCATTTGTGTTTAAAATGTATTATTTTAATGATCACAACATACTCGTCCATTGACATTTCAACCACAGTGGATGAATGCCTTGCCCATTCTCCTTGTATGATCTCATACGCACTCTCATATATGTCCCCATTTCTTCTTTACACAGTTCTTTATGTTTTTCCTCACTTAGTTCCTCCACCTTGTACTTATTCTTCCCAGTGGTCATTTATTAAACATATACGATGGGGTGGTATGGGTTGATTTGATCTGGCTCAGGATAGGGACCAGTGGAAGTCTCTTGTGAACAAGGTAATGAATCTTCAGGTTCCATAAAATGCTGGGAAGTTCTTGAGTAGCTGCACATCTGGCGGATGCTTAGGACGGGCTCAGCTCCATGAGTGAGTGAGTGATTTTTAAGTTCTCAGAAACATTATATTGTCTTCTGTGTGTGACAAATGTCCCTATCGCTATGTAATTAATTTGGCCTGCCCATGGTTGTGTCTACATGAAATCAAGTTTTTCATACGATACTTATGTTGCCTTCTTCAGCTAGAATTTATTTGTGAATTCTGTATGTGCATGTGCAGAAGGGGTTGGAGTGGTGTGCATATATGTGTTTGTTTGTTTGTTGAAGTAAAAGAGTTCATATTATTTGGGAGAGAGATTCTGTACATGATTTATATTAGTGAGACTGCACTTTTAATAAACATGACTGTTATTTTGGATGTTGAATATTATCTTGAATTTTTTAAATACCTTTCAGAAAGTAGTATAAGTGGAGAAAGGTTCATTCTCAGGTCAGCAGATCAGTCTGTCACTGGACCGAACTGAAGACCAGAACCAGCTGAATGGGAACCATTCTTCACTTATACCTGATGATGGAAACAGATTCAGTTTCTGAAACGTGTTTGATACTCAAGACAGTGGACAATGTTCAAAGTAATACTCATGTTTATTGTTGTAGACCATCATCAGAAACATTTATATTTAGATTAACCTTTGAATGTTGTGAGAAAGAAATAGGTCTCAGTTGCCCTGCTGTGTCACAACAATAAGTAAATGTTACACTCAGTTACTATGTAAAATCGAAGATAATATATTTGAAAAATATGAGTGCTGCAGTTTGGAGACCTTATCATGCTTCTTCATACTTACGGGTAGAGGATTTCCAGGAAATTATTAAGCAGCTGTTTTCCAACCATGATGATAGACAGTTGTATGCACAGTTCTGACAGACACCCAGCAGGGTCACACACATCTATTTTGAGCCTTGTGAATGCTGAATTTCTGGCACTTGCATCCCCAGGATGAACAAAAAATCTCCCCTAGAATGAGAAATTTGTGGTACTTCATGGACTTGGTTTGTTTCCATTGGAATTCTTACCACAGATTGTGGAACATGATTCTGATTCCAAGAATGTTATCCCCCATTCTTGGTTTTGTTCTGAACAGATATATTGTTTCCCCCAAGGGGTCAATGCCTGCGTTCACTTCCTGGGCAGCTGTAGATGACTCTGGTATCGTTCAGTGGGGAGGATATTTACACATAACAATAAAACACTCTACATCCGAAACTGAGTGAAATATAATTAAGTTAATAAAGAAACAATATACAGTTCTCTAGCTACATACAAGTTTCTGACTACCTACAATCTTACCACAACTACCTAATACAGTACATTCTACTGTGGCCTACATGATAACAAAATTTTATATGCTAATGCTTAATCTATGAATCAAATTCTGTATCTTAACAATTATATGATGAATTAGATTCCTGAGGTAATAGACAGTGAATGAACATGGACTCACTTTACCTGAAGTGTCACAAAACAAAGGTGATGACTGTGGTGTCATCCCATTGCTCGGATTGAGCGGCCCAACGGACACTCAACTTCGGTGTCTCTATCAATTTAAGTATCTATTAATGCATGCTTTAATGTGTAAAAATTAATGTGTAATGTGTAAATTACTGCCCCAAAATAATGCATCGAATCACTCGTCTCCAAGAATTTATATTCCCATGCCTGGGGATGCGCAAATACTACCCACATGCAAGAAACCCCCTAGTTGACAATTCTCTTTGGTCATGGTTCCCTTCCATTTGAGAAAACTTGCTCATGTTTGGTTCACCACATGAATTGAAAAACAAGCTTCAGGAAGTGCAACTATGGATTGGCTACAGGGCAGATGTGAGACATCATAGACTGATCTCATTCCCCAGTTCTGGTCAGCAAACCAGTGGATGACACCTCACTTACTGAACTTTACAGAAACTTATAATTATCCTTTTAATAATACTATGGGTACAACAATATATGCAACCACGTATTCTTAAAAATAACATCATCTATCATTTACGGAGAGCAGTTAGAGACGTGAGAAATGCTAATGCATTTCAGAGCACAACTAAGCTTATAGATTTGCTATCTGTACTGTTATGGCAGTATGACTAGCCTTAATATTTACAAATTTATAGAAATAATACATTGGCTAGAATGTCTGTCACTTATAGAAACTATTGAAATAAAATGTTAGATTTGAACTTCCTGCAGTTTTTAATTATTTGTTTATTTTTCTTACATATTACTCTTATACGTATATATTATTTCACTGAACTTTTTCATAATCGCTATTATTATATACATATAAAATCTAGCAGTTTTGTGCAGCAAACAAGTGTTTAAGAGGTTATGTACAGATAGTTCCTAGTTTCAGCAAGATTCATGCTGTAAGAGGAATGTAATGTCATCTTCAGTATATGAGTGTACCTAATATACTATAAGCATTTGCACACCTGCTTTTGATACACAGGAGATAAGGCATTTTTTTACAGTTTCTTTATCTCATATGCTGCATTTTCTTTTTAAATAAAAAATGTAAGAAAAAGAGTACTTACTGAAACAGGGATGAGAAAAGTGAAATGGTGAGCTGAAGTAGACCAGCCTTCACAGTAATTTTATGCATGGAGAGTTCAGTTAGAAATGTTCATCATCTTTACTAGTCCATTGATATTAGCTGTGGACAGACTGATATCTTTTTCTGCTCCATTTCACACACATTTACTGTTTCTCTTATGGCTGTGAATAACTGGCTTTACACAGCAACAAGGAAGCATTTAATGCTCCTGTGAGTTCATACCTTGAAGAATGCAATGTAGATTAGTGAAGAATAGAAGTTTACAAATTGGAAAACAAAGATCTTGAATGTGTAGCTGTCTTCATATTCTGTTTGTGTTCGTGGGTTTTCCAAGTTCGTGAGCCACAGGGCCAGTCTCTGGTATAGCTAAAAGAACAGGAAAACATTTGAAATTTAGCTTTTTGTGGGAGTTCACATATATACACTTCATCACAAGTTTAGTGAAGCAACAAAATGTCTGTTTTAGTTCAGCATCATTTTAGGATAATTGAAAATGAGTTAGAGGGAAAGTAAAAAATAAGGGCAATTTTAGTTTCTAACAACACTGAAAAGGTGATACATAAGCATTGTGAACCTTCTATCATTTCCACGTAATTGGTCTATTTTATCTCTTGAGTAAAAGCTATCCCTCTAACAGGCCGTGGAGGCCCATGCGATTGTTAGACTTCGGGACTCTGACATTTTCTAGGCAGTCAGCACACAGATGGCAGTGAGGCTGTCAGCCTTAAGCACCAGCTGACCATCACCCCCAGGAAGATTCCTGGTACTCATTTCTTTTAGAGGCTAGTCGACTCCAGGGCCATAGTGCAGCTTGAAAGATTAGGTCAACTGAAAAATCCAATTGCCTCATCAGGAACCAAACCCACAACCTTTTGGCTTGTAGTATTGTGCCTCAACCAACTTCACTACAACATGCCCCCTATCTCATGTGAAGTGATAACATTTAATGCGCCATATCCTGGAAAACAGCATTCTTCATCGTCACCACTGTGAAAACCTCAAATTCTAAACATTTAACATGGCTACACCACTTATAGGATGCATGAGAGGGGAAAAATGATCGGTGATCCAGTTTCTGTGGTCAGAGAGTGTGAAAACTAATGAAATTTGAGGAGAAAATGACAGTTTAAAATGAAAGTAAAAATTTATTAATAGGTGAAATGGTTCAAAGAAATATTATTGATAAAGTATATTCTGGGCAACTGTCAACTGCAATTTATGTTGAGTTTAAGGAGCAGGTTAATCAGAATGTCAAGGACAACTAAAGAATCAAAACTGCTGAAATTATCATCAGTTATTACATTTTGCATAATGAGTTTGGATACAGCAAAGCTTGTGTCAGCTTGGCAGAGGTGCACAAAAATGTGTGTTCAGAATTTGGCAGATGTAATACACAGTGGTACCGTAATGATGATGTTTTTGTGATTAGACCTTGGTTCATCACTGTGAGCATGAAAGTAAGTAACAAATAGTGCAATGGAAGCACATAACCCTTCCTTTCACCTAAAAGTTCTCAGCTTTCAGTGAAGTGATGAAAATTGTTTGCTGGGATTTCACTCGTGCTGTACTCATTAATTTTTCAAAAGAGAGAAACACTAAGCACTAGTGCTTAATACTGTAACATACTGCATACAGATTGAGGCCACAAACTCAGTCAGAATGTCACGATAATGGTGGTACTATTGTGGCTGGGCATACTGTTGAAACCAACAAGATGAAGTTTGAAGTCCTCCAACATCCTCTGTGCAGTACTAACCAGCATAATCTAGTCTGATTGTTACCCTTCAGGGACACTGGAGGGAGTATTTTTAGTTCAGAAATTTTGCAGTGTTGATAAAATAAAAGTATGGTATGAGACTGGCTCAAGGCCCTCAGGCACTTTGCTGCCAGCCTCTCAACATGGAAGACCCATTTCAATCCCGGCAACCCATATGGGATTTGTGGTGTGCAAAGTGAGAGTGGGACACTTTTTTTTTTTTAGTACTTCGGTTTTCCCCTCCCAGTTTTCATTGCATTATGTCGAAACCAAGTCAGATTGAGACGAGAAATGTATTTTTTTTTTTGAAGGTCTGAAGGAAAGATACCACTTTAAAGAAATAAGCATAAGTCGGCTGATAATATCAAAACGAAGTTGAGAGAATTCAGATTGTGGTCTTCTGGGTTGTGACAGCATGTATTCTTGTGGGTGTATGTTGATGTTTTGAAGGAACATGTTGCCGCCAACTTCAGTAAGGAAGTGTGTAGGTTGAGGAATTGGAAGAGTTGTATAGGAGTGCAGCAAGGAAGGTGGTGTCTGAGACCCGACAGAAGGGGCAAGGAAATGGAACCCAGTCTGGGACAATTTTAAATTACATTTTTGGGGGCCCCAGTCAGTTTTTCCTCCCCCCACTGTGGGAAATGGAATAGTGAGAAAGAACAAAACAGATTTTCATATTGGTGCCAGTTTAGATTGTCTTCTGTGTTATGATACTGTGTAGTCTCATAAGTTTGAAGGAACCTGCTGCCTCCATCTTCAGAGTTTAAGTTCAAGTCACTGCAGCTTTCTCCAAAATGTTAACCACCTATGAAATTGCACAGCGTTATATCTGCTGTCTAAATTTAAGGGAAGTTTATTTTGAAAATGTAAGCTGTATTGCCCTGATTTAGGGTAGGGTCCAGTGCTGAACTTCATGAAGATTGGCATGAATCATTGTGTTCCATGAAGACAGACTCTTTAATCTCCTGAATAATTGTTAAGTGTGAAAGAAACACCTAATACCTCACACTTACAGTTGGATTCTACAGTATATCATGTTTACTTTGGAAGCATAGAGAATGTTCTTATACTTGCATGAGCTGTTTTGCCTGTGTAAGCCACTGTGACTGTACATGGATACTTCTGAATCATAAATTTACCTTCGTGAGGATCATGATGATCACCAAGTTGATGACAGCAGCTGTGATGGATGTAAAAATCTTTGCATGCTTTTTCAGAAATTGTTCTCCACTTCCATAGATAACAGTCACTACAGATATGCGATAAATTATTGTTCCCAGGACAGCTCCCATAACAACAACCACCTGTGGTACAATGATATTACATAAGAAGTATGTGCAGCTGGTTGTCATTTGGTTTACAGATGTGAGGTGTTTGTGCCATTACCTGCTATTTTTGAAAGCATAAATATGGTGTCCTATATTTTTTTAACAATTTAGTAACATATGCAAAATATAAAACTTCATGGTTTTATTGTCCAAAGGTTCAGTATCACTAATCCAAAAACCCACCATTGAACTCACTCTTAAGAGTTCCATCTAGTTGAATTCCTCACACAAACATCTGTATGCATTTTTAGCTGTGTGTTCAGTTCAACACCACAGATACTAGGTGTGTGTAAATTTCGGAGTTCCTTTTTATGCAATACCCTCAATTCTCCACTTCATATCTCTTAATTTTAAATAATTCCATTGTTCAAGCTTAATGTATATTCTATGAATTTTTTAAGTGAATCATCATCTTGCATCTGTTATAAATATAGGCATTATATGAGATTAGATTAGCTTGAACTTGTGAGTGTTAAATGATCCTTGAACAGATGTCTGTGATCTAAAAAATGTAGGGATTAAATGCCTATGGCAGAATGTATATTTCTCAGGTCACAGTTATAGTTTTTATTAAATTGTTAATATTGTCACATGTATGTGTGACTATAGACGGGGTTTGGATTGATGAATGGATTTATCGACCACTTATACACATGACTCATAAGTACAAATAATTATAGTGCCACTGCTAATCTGCACAATTCACAAATCACCACAGCACCTGCTTAGCATATTTACAGCCTGCTGTGTCTTCACCAGCCATTCCCTTGCAACAGCTTCTAACAGTGGAGATTCTTTAGCTTCACAAGCTTGGATCCTCTCTTCACAGCCTCCCGTTCAGAATTCAACTCTCACCTAAGCTCCAAGCCTCCCAGTTGTAACATCTTGGCACAGACTACATAGGAAACACTCTGTTTCCGTTGTTGTAATCCAACTGTTGCATTATTAAGAACCTGCTGGTTAGCAATGGGAATGTGCTCACTGAGCTGTTGCCCAGAAAATGGTCACTGTTTAGAGAATCGCTGCTTAGCAACGGGTCTATAGGCCACAGTATTTTGAGTCTGTTGCAAATATACCAGCTCACCATGAACATAACAGCTGAACTGGTTGCTAGAAACCTCCATGCTCTGCTCCACGTAGGAAGATAAGGCTCTCTTTCCATTGTCACAGGATTGGTGCGAAAAGTTTTTACTGAGGTTTCAAATTCAGGTCGTGGTTCCTCATCTTCTTCAACATTTTGTAAGTCCCACTCCCACACAATAACAGCTTGCTGTCTTTTCCACAGCTCCAGGAAGGTTGTTGCTGGAACAGGCCCATGAGATTATAAATTTAATATGAACTTATCTTTGTATTTATACATTGCTTGCTCTCAGCACATAAAGTAAACACACAAAGAGCACTATGCTGAATGTCTGCATGCTTGTTTCACCTCCAAAATGACTAGGTAGATTTTAATAAAATTTCATTTCAGTGTCTTGCACTAAAAAATTGTTGGCGAATTTCATTTTGGTCCATACATATAAGTCTGTTGTAACCCCGACTTCACATGAAGCCAAAATCACATTCAACATATTTCTCATGACATGACATGAATTAAAGTATCATTCAGGTGTGTAACTTTTAATGGAATTGATGTGAGGTTCAGTAAAATGTAGTCTGAAAGACTCAGTTTCATAGGTGGTTAACAGTGGCTTGAACTTAAACTCTGAAGATGGAGGCAGCAGGTTCCTTCAAACTTATGAGACTACACAGTATCATAACACAGAAGACAATCTAAACTGGCACCAATATGAAAATCTGTTTTGTTCTTTCTCACTATTCCATTTCCCACAGTGGGGGGGAGGAAAAACTGACTGGGTCCCCCAAAAATGTAATTTTCTACCTAACATTAAAATTGTCCAAGACTGGGTTCCATTTCCTTGCTACCTCCATTGGGTCTCAGATACCGCCTTCCTTGCTGCACTCCTATATAACTCTTCCAATTCCTCAACCTACACACTTCCTTACTGAAGATGGCAGCAACATGTTCCTTCAAAACATCAACATCCACCCACAAGAATACATACTGTCACAATCCAGAAGACCACAATTTGAATTCTCTCAACTTCATTTTGATATTATCATCCCACTTATGCTTATTTCTTTAAAGTGGTATCTTCCCTTCAGACCTTCAAAAAAAATTTACATTTCTCATCTCAATCTTACTTGGTTTCCACATAATGCAATGAAAACTGGGAGGGGAAAACCGAAGTACTAAAAAAAACTGTCTTCACTTCTGTGAGTGAACATGGTCAAGGTATGTGTCCTTTGCTACATTTCAGAGATTAATTAGGTTTTTGCAACCATTTTACAATTTAATGGCTGCAGAAATATATTAAATATATCTGCAAAGGGGTTTTATCATGGAATATCTTTTCAATTCACACTGGACAATGCAGCCGAGGGGATCATGTTTTAAAGTGCATAAGGATGTGTATTCCCTTGGATTTGGAAAATAAGCAGCAGCAAAGCATATTATGCAGTTGTTGGGTTAATAAGTTTCAAGAAACTGCCAACATGGTGACACATCATGAATTTGGAAGGAAGTTGTTAGACTGGCAATACCTCAATGAAGAAGATGTTTGGCAACATTCTGTAGCCTTTGTAAAGAAATTATTGTCCACATAATATGTAGTAATGAGAATATTACTTCAGACAAATGTGTACTTGGAAGATGCATTTTTATACTGATTTCAAGTGATATGTGTATGACTCCTGATGTGTCAGGATAAAATAACAATCATGGGATTGTAAAGGCCAGATGAAATTATGCTGAGGCTCTTGTACATGAAAATGTGACAGTAAGGTGTGCTATTAGCGGCCTCCGTAGTCTAGGGTAACGTTCCCACCTCGTGACTCAAGATACGCGGGTTCAAACCTGGCGAAGGTTGTGGAATTTTTAAGGGCAGAACAATTCAGGGAACAAGTCCTCCAGGAAGGACTTTAAGCCGTGGGTCCTGTGTCGTAGCATTACAGCACGTAAAAGAACCTCATGTCTCAAGGTGACCTCTGAGCCAAATTCATGACATTTCCTGCCCAACAGTAGTCTCTAACACCTCTGGTAGATGGGGAAAGCATCGAGATACCGTTGAGCTGGTAGAGGCCGAACTCGCTGGCTGAGTTGGGACTGATGGCACGCACCAGTACCGGTAGGGTATAGAGACTGGTAGAATATCACAGGGCAACGCACAATGGACCAATACTGGTCTAAGTGCATGGGGAAACCCACCCTCTCCAATAACAACAACAAAAACAAGGTGTGCTGTTTGAAGACATGTAATCGTTGGTCCAAATTTCTTTAATGCTGAGAACAGTGATAATTGGATGATATTAGGTAATTTTATCATGCCAGAAGCATGTGTTCCAAAAAATCAATGATTTCAGTATGATGGTTGTCAGAGCAATGCTATAGATGCTAACTGTTCTTCACTTCAACTGAGATAATATTTCACTGTGATTTGCACTCTCCAAATCTTACACTGCCTTTCCTTACCCATGGGACTTCTAAACACACATTTAATTATTACATGGCTCATATATTGCTCAAGTTCTACCGTAAATACCAGTTTATAGTGTAGACAGTCATTAATTGAGTTTTTAAAATGATTAGGACTGCTCTGTATTTTAGGCTGCCTTATGCTGCCTGTACCAGATGTTACAGTTGAGCACTCTTGCTTCATATTTAGGAGGTCCTAGTTTCAAATCTTGGCTTGGAGACCAGTTCTCCTGACTGAGGAACTTTGCAGTTTTCCTTCTGTTCCTCCAGGTAAAGGCTGGGATAGTACTCAGATTAGGGCCTGACTTCTTCCTACTCTATTCTTTCCATTTCATTGTTCAATAATCATCCTGTCATTTGATGCTACCTTACCTTAGCTGTTGGCAGCAGCATTAAGTAGACCATACAGTAAACTGGCCATACTGTATTCTTTTATGATATGCATTTAATGAAATCTGAGGGGAAGAGCTGTGGAGTTGTACAGATATGTCTGTACTCTCTAATACTTTTGTTCGCTATGTCTGTGGTATGTAATATCTCTCCTCATTGTTTCCTTTACCCTCTATAAGTCTGTATATACAGGAAGTGTACATCAACTCCATGTGCACAGAGATGTAAAATCAAAAAAGAAAGTAGTTGGAAATTCTGTATATTCTGAAATGAAGCTCATTTAAAAGATATTACATACAAGTGAATAATGCTTACCCCAAAAGGACATGAATATGGCGAAGAAGACAGTTGCAGGATTATCAAATAAGTATGTGATCTCAGCAAAGACGCAAGAAGAGTTGAGCTTTTGGTAGTCACACACCTTGTCACACAAGGGACACATTATGATGTTTCCACCAATGTTGGGGTCACAAATCTCCATACTGAAAAAAAGATTGTAGTACACTGATACATGTATTTCCATTGTGTTAAAAATAATTCATATGGAACATAAAAGTTCCTTATCGTATTAACAGGAGTGTGCTGCTGTTTCTCTATGATTTTTAATATCCTTCCATCTGTGTCTAGGTCTTCCTAGTGGGCTCTTTCCTTCTGGTTTTCCCTGCAAATCCCTTTATGCATTTCTCTTTGCTCTTATTTGTGTTATGTGATCTGCCTGTCACATCCTCCTTGACCTGATAATCCTAATTATACTTGGAAAGAAGTACAAGTTATGGAGTTCATCATTGTGAAGTTTTCTCCAACACCCCCTCCTTTCAACCCTCTTCACTCAAAGTATTCTCAGCACCCTGTTATCAAACAACATTTGTCTATTCCAGATATCCAAGGCCAGATTTTGTGCTCACACAGAACTACAGGCAACATTATAGTTTTTTATACAGTAGAACTTGGTTATAACGTCATCAAAGGGACCTAAAAATTGTGTCGTTATAAACGAATGTCGTTGTAACCGAAATGGGCACTTCCACAGTAGCCTTAGTTAGTTAGTTAGTTAGTCACGTAAAAAATCTACCAAAAACCGAGTTAAAATGTTGCATTTTTTAGTGAAATACGTAGTTAAGTACAGACTAACGTAACATTAACGTGGAATTGCCCAAATGTGTAATATCAAAGACATATTACAGCGCTTTTCACTGACAATACACACAATATTTCACGAATCACTTTAACTTTCTCTTCAATGCTTAAAACTTTCCTTTTCATTGCCATGTTTTCGCTACTGCACTTCTCTGGGTTTAGGCAGGAACACTATAGGGTAAGTAGACAATGTGAGGTCCTGTTAGACGAGATTCTAGGAAAGGAATGCAGTTAACAACCTGCCGCGTCCTCTTGCACTATTCACGCAGTCCCACCCCACACCCTTGTTTTCGCATAAAACCCACGCTCCTCTTGCAGCCCGCGGTCGTATTCTTCCAGGACAGTCACGTCAGCAAATAGAGAAAGTGAGGGTGGGCAGACACATCGAACTTTCCCACGATATGAGAGAAATTCAGGAATGAAAATGACGTTACATACGAGGTTGATGCATTTGTGCATGTCGTACTAAGCAAGGTATAAAAACAGTTGCTTTATGAGGAATTAGTTCGTACCATTGAATATTTGACGCAATAGACAAGGTGTCGCAGAAACCGATGTTGCTATAACCAAGTTTTACTGTATTTTAATCTTTATGTTCTTTATGGCAGATGAGAAGGCAAACTGTTTTGAGCTTAATGGCAGCAAGCATTACCCAGATTTAATCTGCTCTTAAGTTTGTCATGTATCAAATTTTGATTTGCCACTATTCCCAAATATTTGAACTTTGCCACGTTTTCAAAGGAACTGTTAGCTGTCTTTTGTGTCACGATTTTGTCCTTCATTCTGGTGATGAGAGGTCAGCTTACTTGTATACATAGTTTTCTCTGTGTTTACTTCCTTACTAGGGTCAATTAAAGTTCCTGTGTTTTACTTTGTGGTATTTGTATTATCTTCCAGTAGATTGACATCATCAGCATAGACCAGTAGCTGATACGAGGGGGGGACCCAAAAATAACCGGAAACGACCTGTTGCGCGCGTATGCTTTGTAGTTACGAGTTGTGCTGCTAGGTGGTGTTAGCTGGGGGTCTCCCGCAACTGTTAGTGAGCTGGCGTCAGTCTGAGTTAAGTGGTTTGTCTGTGGTGCTCTGTTGTGTGCGTTCCTGTTTCAACCCTTTGGCGATTAGTGAGATGGCCGACCAGAAGGAACAAAGAGTGTGCGTGAAATTGATGAAGATCGTCGAAAGACCATTGACCAACGAACATCTCATGGAGTATGGTCCAGCGAATGTTAACCGAAGGTTTGCACATGAGATGGGTGTCTGCAAAATTTGTTCCTCGCTTGCTCGGAGATGACCAAAGAGAAAACCGCGTGAATGTTTGCCGCGACTTGAAGAGTGAAGTGCAGTTTTCCCTAACAGAAAGCAAAATTTCATGCACACTCTTTGTTCCTTCTGGTCGGCCATCTCACTAATCGCCAAAGGGTTGAAACAGGAACGCACACAACAGAGCACCACAGACAAACCACTTAACTCAGACTGACGCCAGCTCACTAACAGTCGCGGGAGACCCCCAGCTAACACCACCTAGCAGCACAACTCATAACTACAAAGCATGCGCGCACAACAGGTCGTTTCCGGTTATTTTTGGGTCCCCCTTCATATGTAACATTTAATTTCAGCTCCACCTGGATTTCATGGACCCTCCTAATGGCATATTCCAAAGCAAAGTTGAAAAGCAGTGGCAATAAAGCATCTCCTTGTTTTAGACCATTTCAGATAGGAAAATTATCAGATAAATTTTTACCTATAAGGACTTTACTATATATTTCATTTAAACACATTTTAATCAGTCTAACTAGTTTCCTGGGTACCCCAATCTCTATGAGAATATTGTACCATACTTTCTTCCTGACTGAATCATAAGCTTTCTTGAAGTCTATGAATAGCTAATGTACTGTCTCATTGTACTTCCATTTTTTCTCCAGTATCTTACAAATGCCAAAAATGTGATCAGTAGTTGATTTGTTACATCGAAACCCATGCTAATGATTCCAAATAATTTAATCAATATAGGGACTTAACTTTGAGAGAATGATAGCAGTGATAGCCCACAGTCATTACTACAGCCATATTTATTGTCCTTTTTGTAGGAGTAAATTGGTACAATAATAGACTCCTTCTACTGTAGAGGCAATTCTTCCTTATTCCAAATAGAGTTAATGTGTTAGTGGATCTCAGAACTGAATGTTTTACCTCCTGCTTAAATCAGTTTTGCCAGAATTTGATCAGTACCTGGGGATTTGTGCCTTTTAAACTACAATTTCAGCCTCAAAGTGGCTATTGTCATGTATGTAGTAATGCATATTCATCTGCCCAACATCATTAACCCTATGTACATTCAAAAGTTGAGAGAAGTAATTCTTCCATCTCTTCAAAATTGTGTGGGAATCTGCAAGCAGAACACCATTCTCAAAGAGTGAAGCCATTCATTATTTACTTTTCTGTATTTTCCTGTTAGTTCATCTCTTATAGACCCATGTATTCTTCACATCATTTTGTCCTTGATCATAGTCTGTGTTACTTTCTTAGAACGAGGTAACAAGTTCCATGCCTATGTAAAGGAGTGTGTAAATTCTGTACACTTTATGTATTTTAATTTTTTTGAGTCAATTTTGTCAGTAATTCCAGTTTAAAAGCTTCTTTGTTTTCATGCATCGTATCTTATCTGGGCTTACTTCACAATGTAAAATTGTATTTTCCTGTTGGGAGTCACTTGTGTTCTGTACCTTGGTATATTGTCACTGGAATTCATGGAGAGGAGACCATAGAAGAAGCAGAGTAGACCAACAACAGATGCTGGGATGAGCATTTTTGTATAGAAGCCAAGCCAAGCAAAATAGAGGCCTATCTTCTCACCAAAATACTTTTTGATGAGCCACAGTGGTTGTTTCTTGTACCACCTGCTGGGACAAGCCCATTCGCTGTACAGTAACTGCAAGGAAATTATTGTGGATATTATTCCGTTGACACAAAGATTAAAACCCTGTAAAAAACAGTTGGCTGTTGATTCCCAGTGGAAGCACTAGAATTTTTGTCTTTTCTGCCACATCCAGAATGGCTTTAGCCAACACAGCCTCATATGCAGATGGTATTATGGGCTCTTTATCTGGGAAAAAGATTGGCAGAACATGAAATTGATTACTCGCCTCCAAGTTGTGCTAATGTTGTGAATACATTATATTTACCTCTCCATTCCTTCAAGACATCGTACTTGTGCATATGAATAATAAGTTTTATCAAGATTTACTCTCTGGGTATGTGCATGCATGCAAGCATGTAGGGATGGTTGTGAGTGTTGTGAGGATAGGGGGAATGAATTCTATGTCAGCATTCCACATTTGAGTCTACAGTACTACCACTGATCAGACTGTTCAGTAATTGAGTACATCCTGAATATTGGTCACACTGACTACCTAACTCCATGGAGTAGAGTCCTTGAGAATTCACCTGAAGGTTATCATCATGTTCACAAGAGTCCACCACTGGTCTCTATTCTGAACCAGATGACTCACNTAGGTTTCAGACGTATTACTGATAAGCTACGTCTTCTTTATTTCAGACACTGATATACTAAAACTGGCAGATACAGATTTGTAAAAATTAGTATTTGCAACTTTGATTTTCCAGTCAATTACCCGTCTGTCCAAGTTTATGCCATTCCGTGAGTCTTTCCTGTAGCTTCCTTCATGCAGGGGGAAAGCAGCAAGGTATGTACCATTGTTGAGTAGTCGTCTAATACCAACCTGGAAGCAATTACTCAGCTGTGTATGAGACAACCAATTACAGAGCCCTATATGAACATACCTCAGTAGAAGTCATTTAATACCAACAATGATACTGGTTTTATCAGTCTTGATGGTTCTGCATGGTGTAATTACACCCCTTTATGAGAGTGCATTTACATCTAGATATAAGTAAAAGTGATAAGTAAAGTATGCATGTATTATCTTTCATCATTTTGTGAATCTGTATCAAGATAATATAGTGATTATTTTCCCACTCATGAAAAAATATATAAAACAATGCAAAGACATTGTATATACATTCTTATATATGATTCACCATGAATGGGTTGCCTTGAAAACAAAGTAGATTGTTGCTTGGTAGACCATTGTTAGCTACCAAATATTAAATATTGAAATCCATTGAACCAGTAAAGCTGGCATCAACAAAACTGACATTTTGCATTTGGCAACTAGGAGGCATAATGTTACTTTCCACCTATGAAATTTTATTTAGGGATATTGTCTCTATGTATTACTGAAATTTAATCCAGATCATTAGAACCCTTCAAGAAAATGACAACTTTGTTTTTTTGTTTCTCCCCTACCCCTTCTCCCTCTCTCTCTCTTTTGTGGGTGTGAGCTCCTCTGAAGGGTCCCTATTTTTGGAGCTAGAATGTTAACATTTGCCAGTGACCAACCTATAATGTATAAACTCTTTAATACCCAGTATGAATAAAATCCACCAAATTGTTCAGATGCTGGTAAGACACATATCCATGTGTACAGGCAGACAAACAGACTTAAAAAGCACCAATTTTTCTTATTCAGAAGGTTCAAATTGTGTAAGTCCGTTAGAGTTTCAAGATCAGTTTTCTTTTCAGGATCACAATACCTTCTTGTATTTACTATGTATAGGAGGAAGTTAAAATCCATCATGCTTTCTGTATCCATGGTGACATGAAAGAAATGCAAGAGTCTTGCTACTGGAAAAAAAAATCTGTGAAATATATACAAATTGGGAATCTTGTTGTTAAAATAATAATTTTTGCCAATTTGAAGATAAGCATTGGATCATATTCAGGTTGTTTTAACAGTGGGAATGTGGCAGACTCAGTCTCAGTGCAGTGGTAAGAAACTCATTCATTGAAAAAGTTGAACATTTTTCAGAGTGTCTAGAGTATTCTGTTTTTTCTGTTGTTGCTCTGTTTAAGTTTTCAGAAAGCACAACAAAATAAATCACCTTTGTCCCCTTGCAGATCTTCATAAATTAATATTTTATGGTGATTTTATTACATTATTTATTCATCATTTATAAGTTTTGCAGCAAAATTGTGGAATATTAAAGTTAAAAAAATATTCCATCAGCATTTTTTTAAAACTTTAACATTCTACACTTGTGCTGCAAAAACCAGTGAATCTCAGGTCACATAAAACCTACAAGCGAAAATTCGTTACTAAAATGCAGATAAAAAGGGAAAAGTTGTTCTTGTGCTTAACTAATTAATTAGTACACCATGAAGATGTGTGGGAGTTGATGTATATGAGTGCATGGATCTGTACATCCATTCCCCCATTATATATTCATGGTGTAGTGCTTAATTAGTTAAGCACATGGATAAATTTGCTTTTTTCTTTTTATCCTCATTTTAATAATGAATTGTCACTTGTAGGTTTTGTGTGGCATCAGAATCACTGGTTGATGGAACCCAAATGTTCACTTAGATCTCTACAGAATCAATTCAATCATGATACATCATTCTATTTTCTTTCTCAGGAAACCTATTTCTGATATACATAAGGTAAAGCAGCTCTTTTGTAACATCATTTCTGTGTCTGTGAACCAATTCCTGCCACCAATAAAACATAGTTGTATGCAGGTTCCAGACAGGAGAGCGACACTAGCATCTCTTAATATAAGCCCCCAGAAGTTGGTGTAATAACAAATATTTGAAATGTGTGTGGTTTTCATTGAGGTTGTACTTAAATGAAATGCAAAACAACATGCTGCTATGCAGAATTTATATTTTGCATTTGTATTGTGGCATAACTAATGAATATTGCAAAATTGTTTGTGGAGATAGAACATAAACAGGTTTCTATTCTCTTATAAGTTATAAATTTCCAAAAAGAAATTTCACAATATAACTGAAATTTAACATACTTTGAAATTGTACTAACAGCAGATTTCCACAGAAACAGATCATTGAATATTATGATCATTAATTAATAGTTCATGTTATCATAATCATATATATGGAATCATTTTATGGGAAATATGCATCATAAGGTCTTTTCAGAACTTGCTTATGTTGTGTCCAGCAGGTGAAACTTGTAATGCCCCACATATTGAGTCTCATGTCCTAATGAAATTGTGTGGGTTATGTTAAATTGTCTGCCAGTTGTGAGGTACATAGGCAATTCTCTTTATAAAGGGTTGTCAGCTCCACACTAAGCTACCAGTCTGGTGTATCACCTCACATCATCTGTTGATTATGTAACAGACTTGCATAATCCCAGACTTTTTACATAATGTTGCATGTGTTACATGAAGGTATATAGACAATTGTGAGGTTTCTTAGGTGAATTCCTTATAACCTATTCTGGTCTTCTGGGTTATGACACTGTGTTTTGATCTGGTAGATCAGTACCAATATTTCAGAAGAATGTACAACATCCCTCTTCAGAATGTAAGATGATAGTACCAACCTGGCAAACTACAACATAGTGTCATAACTCAGGGGACCACGGCGTTAATCTTTACTGTCATTATGCCTTCATATCTTTTATTCTAGGAACCTAGATTTTTCAGTGAAAAGTTGACAGCCACGTAATGAACTTCGTATTTGTAAAGACACCAACTCTTAACTATAAGAGACTTATTTAACATATTTTCACATCTTACCTTCTCACTGTCATCATACTTTGCTCTCATCATAATCTGCCACACCACCTGACTCCTTTGAGCAGCTGTGAAGAATGTTTCACGATCTTTGATGATGAATCTACATAACATAAAACAGAATTTCGGGTATATACCAACACTGTCTGTTATTTTAATTTTATATTTAGTATGAAAATTAGTATTTTTAACCCCTTGAGTCTTCTTTCAAACAGCATTCCATGGTGTGAAAATCATGTTTAACCCATATCCTGTCAGTTGATTGACTTTTGGACTACACAGAGACTAGCTCTATCAGTTGGGCCCAACAGAGTAGGGGTTTCTACCTGAGGATGTATACAGAGTCCAGTCTCTGAAATGTCATTAAAAAAATAGAATGCTGGTTAATGTGCAAAAAGTCGAGCAATGCAGTACTATACCATTGTCACAGAATTATTCTGTTTCTTGCAGAAGAACTGATAAACTTTAGACTAAAAAGCCATGACCTCTTCTGGCTGAGGATTGAATTATGCTTTTCTTTTGCATGTAATTTATACAGAACTTCTAATTTTTAACACTTTTTGCCTCATATCTTGCGGAAAAATGCAAATGTTATTCTTTTTAAAGAAACAGAATGACAACTTTGTGTAGCTTTTAGCATTCAGCAAGAGGATTAAATAACTGTGACTTCATAATGGTCAGTGATTTGGAGTCATGGAGCAATTGGTTGGCCTTCATTTTGTCCACAAATTGAACTTTTTATGAAGGTACAGTGGCTTAATTGCTAGGTGCTTAGGTGCCTTTTAAATATACTCTCCCTTTTAGCGCATAACAGTTGCCAAACAGTTGAAACAAAAATTTATGCAGTAATCTCTTGCTGAATATTTCTGGAAAATTCCATGTAATTTTTTTTAAAGTGGGATTTATGAACTCTACACTGTGAACAAAATTGATATAGTGAACTTTTTTTAGACATTTTCACATGTCATAATCACCACATACTTCCTGTGTATTTTCTTCCCTCATGATATATTTTTCTTTTATTTTGAATGTACTATTCAATATGGAAACTTCTTATACTTTCATCACTTGAACTTGAGCCTGCATTATTTTTTCATGTTTTTAAATGGCTTTTTTGAAATAGCTTCAGCAAACAATAGTTTTGTAAATAGTGTGGTGTTCTTTCAGAGAAAAGGTGTGAGGTATACTAGTTAACAGATAGTATGGTGGCAGACATGTACTCCACAACATATTTGAAAGTGTTTGCAAGATTCAAGGTTCTCACAGTAGTAATTATGAAGACTGTTTTCTGGGATGTGACACTGTGTAATCTCATAGATTGCTAGTGTTTCATAAGAATGTGTTGCCTCCAACTCCAGGGCAGAAGATTACTCGTCCTTTACAACTTTGATAATTTACAAACTACACAGTGTCACATCTCTGAATCATCAATGTTTGATTAGGTTCTTTGTAAGTAACAGTAGTGACAGGGTGACTGGAATGTGAACCATACTGGCTAAGAGGATTATCTGTTGTTAACACTACTTACTGCTCTTCTTTGTCCTGCCTGTATGTTGCTGTGTAGAATGAAGGTTCCTTGGGTATCCGAGTGTGGTCATATTCAAAGATCTTCATGAATTTGTGGGGCAGCAAGCTGCCCTTTTTTTGTTGCCTGTCATCCCCCACCTCCTACAGAATGTGAACACAGCCATTATCTGAATGTTGCTGCCAAGAGTCTTTTTTCTTTGCAGTTATCACATAATACAGTGAGATTTCCAAATTCATAATTATCAGCCTCCTCTGTACAATTATCCATGACTTTACTGAAAGTTAGTTAAACTTATCAGAACCAGAAGTAGCTGTAGGAAATATAAATGAAATGTAATTTAGTTGATGCCATAGTTTGCTTTGAGATGGGTAGCTTTGAATAAATTGATCTTTTCATTTCATAATTAGAAAAAAAAATGAATTGGAAGTGATGCAGAATGAATCTGAGAAGTAGATCAAATTCTTATATTATATTATTATATATTATATTATATCATATTCTTATATTAATTACTGTGTGGGGACATCCCACATAGCACGCTGTGTCCACCAGTCTTTTACACAACACTCACTCCTTAAAGAATATCGCATTGCTGGACGTTTCATTCATATTTATACAAGCACGCACTGCAAATTTACGCTCCTCATTTTCGCTAGCCAATCAGCGCCTGCAAATTGTTGCTCCTGAAATGCAAGTTTTGCTCCGCCTACCGAGCTGGGTATAAAAAGGAGCAGCTCCAACCCTGCAGCATCAGTCATCAGTCTACAGTCAGTTCCACAGCAGTCTGCCAGCAGTCTACAAACAGCACGCTTCATCGCCAGCGCTCGGTCTTTGGAGGCATCGGCACTTCGCTGCGCCAGGCACGACTGCCTCGGCTGTCTGGCGGTCACACCCGACTCACTGGGCAACTGGCGTAGCTACCGCCTCTCCACTCCTGCAACCGCGCTCAGCAAGCAAACCTTTTCCAGCAACCAAGCAACCTCCACAGTCAACTGACTCAGCCGCCTCAACACACCGCAACCAACATCCCTTCCTACTGGCGCACGCCACGCTACTTCACCAGCCAAGCATCTAAGCAACCAACGGTCCTTTTCAGGACCTACAAACTGTTCCAAAGAAGTGGGTTGTCATAGGAGTAATGAACAACTAAAACCCCACAACTGAATACATTTGTTTCTTTGTGTTACATGCATATCAGTATACTGCATAGGAATTAATGTCAAATGAGGTCAATAGACAAATATTTAACAGATGAAAATTGCAAGACTTGGAATCTGTAATACACAGTTGTAAAATTATAATATACAAATAATAATTCAAACCATTGCTGACATACACAGTGGAAACATGGTTAAGGAAATTCCACAGTTGAATTGCATTAAAGGAAAGACAAGGGGAGGTAGAGTTAGAAACTGAAATTGAAGATCATTTTAAATTAATGAATAGACTGAAATTATTTGGTTATGTTCTGGTAATAGAACAGTACAGATTATCTAAGTGGTGAGAGACCTGAGAAAAACTGTGAAGATGAAGAAAACACTTAACAGATCAAGTTACAGAAATGCTGTGAACAGAAATTTCGTGTAATGTAAAGAAGAATGATGCCACTGTTCTTGACCAAATAATGAAGGGAAATATTGAGTATTGTGAAATAATCAAGTTTCATTTTGCTACAGTCATTCACATCCCTCCTCCCCCCCAGTAAAAGAATGTCATACCAAAATAATACATACATTGTAGTGAACTTAAAGAATATACTAACTATGTCTCTGTCTCTTCTCTTTATGCAACACTACATATGTCAGCCTAACTGGCCGTCATAGAACGAACGAACTCCGTGGCCTGTAGTCCGCAAATGAACTATACCGACCGATCAACTGCTGATTGTCGGCGAAGTTAGTGCCAACTTTTACCATCATCAGGAGTATAAAATGGTGGATTAAACGAACCTACTGCTCTATTGTCACACTGTTCTGCTTTTCATTCTGATGTAAAATGTTTCTAAAATATTTTATTTTAGGTTATTTTTAAATTATCATGCTGTTGTTACTTTATTTGTATGCATGTGTCTGGTGGAAGGTTTGACAGTGTGTTCGTTATATCCTTTTGTGCTGTATGTGCTGTTTTGGATGTGTCTGTGTAATTGGCCAACTATACAGAAACGCAGCATAAAAGGATATAACCAACATATCAACAAAACATAGGCATGTGCATACAAATAAAGTAACAATGGTGTGATCATCTAAAAATAATCTCAAATAAAATATTTTAGAAGAATCTTATGTCAAAATGAAAAGCAGAACAGCAGGTTCGTTTAATCCACCATCTTATACACCTTATGATGGCCAGTTAGGCCAAAACATATAGTGCTGTGTAATGAGAAGAAATGAAGACTTTGAGGTGTGAATATCACCGTATCAACAAAGTTACACAAAGATGGCAAGGTGTGGGAACATAAAGTCAGAATACACAGTGCAGCAGGATGCTGCAGTATTATTAAACAATATAAATAATAGAGGAACTCTCTTTTCATTTTTTGCACCTTTTCTGTGATTATTGCCAGTTTCGTGCTAGAAAAATATGGACAGAAATGTGAAACTGTGTTAAAATCATTAGTTTGGTCATCCTAGCTGTGTATTTAAGACGTATTAATTAGGATATTAGGAAGGTCAGTGCAATGTTCACTTACTTGCTGGTATGGTTATCTGTCATGTCATGCCTTGAATATGTGCACACACTTAACTTCACATTTTTTGTACATGTTTAATTTAGTGTGATCTGTAAAAGCAATACAGGGTGCAACTCACAGTGAGTATAAATATGGTGTTAGTTTCCTGACAGCATGCAAGTCCACAATCTAAACTGGTGCATTATGTATGTTGGTCCAAAAATCACTGTAGAATTACCCTGATAAGTAACATCTGAAAGCACATTAAACTAGCGAGGTCACAGAGTAGACCCAAGATTCGGGAAAATACTTGCTTTACTCTGTACAGCAGTTGTCTATTTTCTATTGATTTTTAAGGTTTAAATACGCCCATGCTATAGCTAAGGCAGTTAGTCACCGGCTTCCCACCATGAAAGCCCTGGTTTGATCCCAGACCAGATCATGTGGGATTTGTGATGGACAGGTGGCACTGGGGTAGGTTTCTATGAGTATTTTGGTTCACCCTGCCAATTCTCATTCCACCAACTGCTCCACACTCATCATCATTATCATCATATTTAAAAGCTAGTAAAATTTTTATAAGCGTTCCACTAAGCTATCTATGTAATAAAGTATTATTTGAAGGTGTATATCCAGATAGGCTGAAATATGCTGAGATTATACCAGTATTCGAAAAGGGTGAAAAATGTGATTTATCCAATTATAGACCTATTTCTATCCTTACCTCTTTTAGTAAAATTTTTGAGAAAGTAATGTATAGCAGATTGATACGCCATCTAAATGAGTATAAAGTACTAAGTAAACATCAGTTTGGTTTTAGAGCTAATTTGGGGACTGAAAATGCGATATTTCAAGTAATTTCTGAAATATTGAATGCTCTCAACCAAAAAACTTTAATCAGTGGGATTTTTTGTGATCTCAAAAAAGCATTTGATTGTGTCAGTCATAAGGTATTATTGGATAAATTAATGTACTATGGAATAAAGGATAAACATCTTAATTTATATAAGTCTTATTTACATAATAGATATCAGAGAACACAAATTAGAAATAGATATGGAAATGTTTTAACACAATCTAAATGGGTTAGTGTAAGAAATGGGGTTCCGCAGGGCTCAGTTTTGGGACCACTGTTGTTTATAATTTATATTAATGACCTACCTAAGATCTTGGAGTTAAACAGTATACCTATTTTATTTGCTGATGATACAAGTGTCTTGGTATCACATCCCAATTCTGGGCAGCTAAAGAATTTACTAGATGAGGTTTATTTTATACTTAGTGATTGGTTTTCAAAAAATTTATTGTCTTTAAACACTGTAAAAACATGTTGTATAAATTTTACTGCTAACAACAAGGCGTCTATTGGAAGGGATGTAGGTAACATACTAACACAAATCACGAGCTCTTACGATCTTAAATTCCTTGGTATAACTATTACTAGAACTATGAATTGGGAAAGACATATTGATGAGCTGTTAACTAGGCTGAGTTCAGCTTGTTATATGATAAGGAACATGAAACCCATAATGACTATTACTACCCTGAAAATTATTTATAACTCTTATTTCCATTCTGTCATGTCCTATGGCTTGATATTCTGGGGTAATTCAGCTTCTGCTGAAAAGGTTTTTAGGATGCAAAAAAGAGCTATACGATTAATGGTTGGTTGTGGATATAAACAATCGTGTAGAAATAGATTCAGGGAATTAAATATACTCCCTTTAAGAGCTCAATATGTATACTTACTGATGATGTTCATTGTTAAAAATAGAGACAAGTTTGCTCTAAACAATGACTATCATGATTTATTAACTAGACGGAGAATGGATCTACATATGAACCAGCTGAATCTGGCTGTATATGGTAAGGGCGTGTCCCACATGGCGGTGAAGGTCTTTAATGCACTCCCTTATAATCTTAAAGAAATTGCTTCCATACCTAATCAGTTTAAAGTCAAACTGAAGGACTTCTTGAGTAATAATTCCTTCTACACACTTGATGAATTTTTTAATAGATTATTTTATTTTGCTAAAGTAATTATTAACTGTTCACTTATTATTACAATTAACATAACTATATATAAAGGGTCTTGGCAGAAATATGATTGCTTACTATATACTAATTGTTATTTTGAAATGTAATTATATTAATTTATGTATTCTTGAATTTATTTCTATAACTTGTTTTCTCTGTTTTTTATTGTATCTATGTTAAGATTCAAACTTGACTATTTCCACATCTCATGGAACTTGTTTCTGTATAGATCTATGGAAATGAAATAAATGAATGAATGTGCCCATAAAAAAATAAAATTTAAATTATGATCCCCAAGTTTTTTATGTTGTTCATGAACTGAACACAAAATTGAGAAATATTTTGAAGAACAACATAAATGAGATACAAATATCGTATGCCTCTTCATTCTTCGTTCACTTTATATTCACAGGATCAGATGGTCTAGGTTTAAGATGGTAGGCTCCTGTACCAAGTATATTTTGGGATACAGACCAACCAGATCTAATGTGAATATTTCCATATACACTACACATCTGCATCTCGGACAAATACAGAATCTTTGATGGGAGTACTAGGCTCCTATCACAGTTCAGGTCATATGTTTACCGTTTAATGGGCAGTGGTAATCATATATCCTGCCTGATTTATTATAGTATTACAAATCTTGGCATTTCATCCATAGAGAGTTAGTTTCAGCTGGTTCTCAGAGTGAACAGCAATAATTTTCCTGAACATCATTAGCTGAATTAACTTCATATTAATTAAGTGTTTCTGCTAGTCAGAACAAAATGTTATGTTTTATATAGGCAAATTTTACCATTTAGAGGATTAAGCTATAGATCTACACCCTTAGTTTCATTATCATCTTATACTGAGAGTAAAACTGAATCATCGTGTGTGTGTGTGTGTGTGTGTGAGAGAGAGACAGACTGAGAAATTGATTCACTTTTTACAGGTTGGCATAGGTCAAAAGATTATAACCTGAATGTTAGTTAATTCATATGAGGGTTGGAACTTTAATAGTGGCAACACTGCTGTAGAGATGCCATGCAACAGAACAAAATAATGTCGCTTATACCACACGTTAGTTACATACCTACCTTTCCTCAGAGCAAATGGACTCTCCCTTCTCACATCACATGCATGCGCAGTGACGAGAAGAACAGAGCCTTGTGTTAGCTGGCGTGTTACTACGGTGTTTTTGAAACAGGAACAAAATAAAACTAAACTAAACTAAAATACAACATTAGGAACAATGGAGTTGGATAAAGATTGAATGTGCCAGAGGCCGTACCACACGACGGTGTCATCAAGGTCTTCAAGAGGCTTGCGGGGAATGTGCATTGCCTTACAGAACAGTGGCAAGGTGGGTAAAAACCTTCAATGAGGGATGCCAAAATGTGGCACACATGTGTTGGCCAAGTCGTCCTAGTGTCGGAGAAGAAGTGTATGCTCTTTCTGCGTTACTGGAGAGTGATCGACGTCATACGATTCATGAGCTGGCCTGAGAGATAGGATTAGCACATACAGCTGTGCTTCACATTCTGAATGAACGACTGGGCATGAGAAAAACTGCATCACGATGGGTTCCGCATGATTTGACGGAAATGCAGAAATGGCTACAATATGATGCTGCTCGTAACTACTTGGGTGCTATGAGCGCGAAGGAGAGGCTTTCTTACACCATACGAGTATCATTATGCTGGATGAGACATGAGTCAAATCATACGAACCATAATGAAATGTCAATCGAACAAATGGCATCATTACAGGTCACCACAAAAATCAAAAGTTCATCAGAACCCCAGAAATGTGAAAGTTATGGTGATTCTCATGTATGACTGTGATGGTGTTATCCAAATGCATACCGTTCCCCGACAGCAGACCGTCAATGCACAGTATTACTGTTCATTTTTGGAACACTACCTGCGACCATCTTTGAGAAAGAAGCGGCAACACTTTCTGCAGAACCCACCCATCATTTTGCAGGACAATGTTTGGCCGCATGCAGCGCAAGCTGTGGCTGCTTTGTTCGATCAGTGGGGCTGGGAAGTGTTGTACCATTCACCATACTCCCCAGACTTAAGCCCTTGTGACTTCGACTTGATTCCTAAGGTGAAGGAACCACTTTGTGGAATTCGCTTCAGAACGTTCCTGAGATTCTTCAGGCAGTAGACCGCTCCATTCGAACTATCAACACAACAGGCGCTGCTAAACGTATCCTACGACTTCCACATCGCTGGCAATGGGTTGTACACAATGCTGGTGACTACATTGAAGGACAGTAACACTTCGAAACATGCATCTATTTTGTATCAGTTGTAAATAGTTGACACTATTAAAGTTCCAACCCTCGTATTTATTCTGATTCAGCAACTACTAAACTTTGCAAATGTGCTAGATTTATGTGCATTAAGGATTAAAGAAACTGAATTATTTGCAATTTATTAAGGAAGACACGGGGAAAATGCATCCTTTATTTGTGATTGTGAGGGTTTTCAACCCTTAGAATGAAGAACATGCAAAGCAGGGATCTTGCACACACACTTTTGTTACACTTACCCAGGCTTTACCTAGGCTTATGAATCTCTTGTTTTAGCATGGCAGTAGTAGTGGAAAGAAAAACAAATAAAAGAGAAACAATCATTATGGGCACTCACACGCATATGTACAAAGCTGAAAATGTTGAAAAATTTTGTCAGAGAGCAAGCATCACCCGGTGAACCAGTAAATTCTGAAAGAATGGAGACAATACACCACCTTGAATATTGCTCTTGGTCCGTCACTCGTCCTGACAAAACACTGGCCATGGAAATAATGTACAAAGAAGTTAGATCCTGCAAAGGAACTCTTGAACACACAAATAATGCTACATGACTTGTTTTTCCAAGACAGCTTTTATTGTACTCGTATATTACATGGTAAGGCATTTTAAACTTTTACTTCCTATGGATATATGCAGCATGTATGTGACTCTACATTTCTTATACTACAGAACTGACAACATTAGAAAGAATTATTCTCCTGCATGAGGTGATAATCATCTTCTGCAGTTACGAGTTAACTTTTTTGTACTCAACCTCATGACTCATTAGCATGAAGCTATGCTGTGCTTAGTCATTGTGTAAGCACTGGAAGGTGACGTGCCAAACAGAGCAGAACTTTGTTCTGATCTCATAGCATAAAACAATTTATATAATTTGGGACACCACATTCAGCTTCAGAATACCTCCATCCTCACTACCAAGATCCTTTATATGGATCACATCATTAGGGAGGCCATTGAGATTGAACTCCATCCTGACAATATGAACAGAGAGGTGGGGTTTTGTCTCAGCAAGTCATGGAAGCCTCTCATCTGTTCCCTCAAGTAACCTCCGAAATACGGCAGACCCTGTCAGCCAGAGAATTAACTTATTATGTAATTATGTGCACAGTGGCAATGCATGTCTACAAACATTTCTCAGTATACCAAAATTACAGAAGCCTGAAGTAATATTATTAAGATAAACGCTGTGTCAGTGCCAAGAAGCAGTTGCAATTTGTATTGTGTTGCATAACTATTTGATTAGTTGTACTCTTACATGTTACTAAGGTAAAATGTATTTGGATGAGTGGTGTTCAGTAGCATAACAGAGTGTCAGAGGATGGGGTAACTGTTCAAGGTTTGTTACTGATGGAAAAATGTTCTGCCTTAACACTGAACTTTCTTGTGATGGATATGACGGTACTACAAGATCAGTTCGTTAACATTTGCAATGCTGTGATGGTGATACATCATGTCAAAATGAAAATAGCCTTACTCTGATTGACTAAGTATGTGACATCAGTCAGAAGAAATTTACACTACCATCTCTTGATAGTTGAAGACATGCATTAGAAGGTTCCAAACAAAGGCATTCACAAATATAAGAACATATGTAACAAAACATTGTGTGTAGAAAGGGTTAAATTGGACTTGGTCAGTAAAGTTAATTTTCACAGGTTCTGTAATATGGACTTCAAAACACCTTGGCACTAAAAGAGGACATTGCTGGTTTCTTGTTGGATGAGGGTTTTCTTGGCCATTGGTACTTTGGCATTAATCACAAGTATTACAGCATGTGCACCTGGATATTAAGGCAGTGCTTGTTGAGAAGTCAAGGACATGTGTAGGAACTGACTTTCCAGAGAACTTGCCAAATCTTGTACAGAGTATATTTCAGTAAAAGATCAAAGTTGTCCCTGTGCTTAACAAATTAAGCACTACAACATGAAGGCACATGGGGGAGTGGATCTATAGATTCACACTTTCTTGACCTCGACACTAGTTGGAGATGAGTGGTCAGCTTCACAGCTGGCTGCTTTACCCCCGGGAAATGAATCCCCAATACCCATTGGATAGGAGGTTGGGTGGACCCCAGACCCAGTCTGGACGATGTGGAGAAGAGAAAATTCTTGACCCTACTGGGACTTGAATTCCAACCCCTCGGTTATCCAGCCCATAGCCAGTTGGTATACTGACTGCGCTAGCCCAGCTCCCACATTTCGGTACACATATTTAAGATATATCACTTTGGTTCCTCTTAAAATATGATCTTGTGTGCAGATGCATCTCTGCACTTAACCACCGAAATTATCTCTGGGTGTCTGCTTGTGTATAATTTAATGTACTGTTTAAGGTGATACTTTTTCTGAATTAAACATTTTAAATAATGAGAGTTCATTACATTGCATAACAAAAGGGGAAGGAAGAAGTATGTTGGCCTAACCCCAAAATCATACTGCCCTGTGTTAGCCCACAATATACAGAGTGTTTCACGACTTTGGGGCATAACTACAGGAGGTGTTTCCTAGGTCTTTGTGATCAAAAAAGTTCATATAAATGTGTGTCCGATTTTGGATGGTTATGGAGTTATGACTGTTTTTTCATTCCTGTACACGCCCTCGTGTGAACTGCGTCTGTTATCTGGTGGGTCGTTATTTTTGGCCAGCTACAGACAGAGCGTTCTCGTTATCTCGACACTTGAGAGGTACCTAAGGCGTGGTGGGTTGGTATGTCCAGCGCGGTTCACAACTGAGCGGCAGCCTGTGTTGCGGCCAGCGGTGGCATTTTCGAAAATCAGCTTTAAGCACCAATAAATTCAAATTAAAGGTAATTTCATGAAGTTAACTTTACATTCATACTTTAAATATATCATGTATTATGCTGGTTTATTATTTTGTTCCATTTATTGTCAGTAATCGTTACCTTCTATTCTGAGTTTAAAACGGTCATAACTTTGTAACCGTCCAAAATCTGATACATGTTTATATGAACTTTTTTTTGATCACAAAGACCTAGGAAATTACCTACTGCAGTTATGCCCTAAAGTCGTGAAACACTCTGTATATGCCACTGTAACATCTCTGTCAACTCCTACTTCAACCTCTATAAAGTCCCTCCAGACCTTGAAACCTAAGACTTTATCTCCTGAATCCACTGAGTGACACTTTGGCCATAGAAGAGAAGTGAAAAGTTGAAGATGATCTCCATCACCATCAAGTAACAATTCCTTATACGAACTATGCGCTCAGGATTGTGGTGGTTACAACATGTTGGATTTGAGATTCTCACAGCAGTGTCTATGAAGAATACTGTATTTTGGGATGTAATGCCATGTAGTCTGACAGAAGTTTAACAGTGCTTTGGAGGTACATACTGCCTCAATCTTCAGGGTTGGAAAGTAAGCCAAGCAGTAGATAGCCAGCAGAGCTCTTGTTCCTCTGAACCTTTGGTGGACTTCTACTGGACTATGCAAATAATACCCCTCATACTAAATTATGGTGTACAAAGGGCCCTTAAATTAACTGATGTGAGAGAGTCAAGATACAATGAGTTCAAATTGTGCAGAAGTGGGTTGAAGTAATAGAACAATGGCAGTATATTATCTTTATTGTTGATTAGCTTCATCAGCAATACAATGTATAACTGCGCTTTGAATCTCTGTCTGCATTTGAACTGTTCACTGACTGTCAGCCAATGGTTTGTGTTTGGAATGAATGAATATCAAGATGGTAATGTAGAATTATATAGAAAGCCCCTGAAAACTTTATACTTCAATTTTAAATGTTCACTGACTCAAACTTTTGTTTTATTGCAGCAGTGTGTTATGTTTCAGGATGTGAATCAGTGAGATCTCGATAAGATCTGTTTTCAAAATGCAGTTTTATATCTGGCTTGTTTTTGGGTCAAGAAAAAAGTCAATATAAGCAATTAAATAGTAATTGTTTATACTGACTTTATACTTCATCAAAAAAAAAGATGAACACCTGCATTTTACTATTTATGTTTTAATCATTTTAAACAACATTGCCACGTATTCTGCTGGAATCTGCGTCCATGGGTGAAAAAGTTCTCAAAGCTTGCTTCTGTATCTTGTTTAGTATTCTGCCTACTATATAAAATACTATTAAGGCCAAGTTATCCAGTTAACATTCTTCATACCGTAAACTTTTAAAAGGTTTCATGTATACTTTGTGACATATTAGGACGAAATGAATACAGTGATGGAATACTTTATGTACAGTATCTATAGACTGAAATTCTTTATTACCTTGATTGGCATCTTCATGTTCATGACCTCAGCATACCGAGTCAGGGCCTTCCAGGGAACATGCACTTTAAGGAAGAACTTTTCCTGGTCGAATGCCATCTAGGAAGGGAAATGTTTGGGGTTAGAGGAAAGGTTTTCACAGCTTAAATCAATACCGTTACTTGTGGTTTCTGATGAATAGAATATTACATATAATTTATTTAGTATAAATAATTTCAGTAGCTTTAGTGTTCATACTCATATATATTGTACAACCTTTCTACATTGGTCTCAAAAAGTACATATTGTTGGAAGTTAATTCCACAGCTTATAATTTTCAAATTGTGGATAGTATAGAACAGTTGTTTTTAAATTTGTTGTGTTTGTTGACTCTAACCACAAGCTTCCAAAGTGCAATTTTCCCTTCATAAGGGAGTACATGGTTTCATAAAAGGGATTTTTCTTGTATGCATTTCATAGTGATCTGATACTACAATTTGACATGAACCACAGGATTTATAAAAGAATGAATCTGAATTGTTTTACTTACTTAATCAAAACCAATGTGAGTTGTACCCCATAACCCAGAAATTTCTGTGATATTTACTGTGATAAAACTTAGACTGGAAGAAAAATAGCTATGCAAAATCAGGTCATCAGATATCCAAGAAACTAGTAAATACTTTCAGTCACTCCCATGATATCTCATCTTTTACAAAACACTTCAAGAGAGAAAATGTTGTGATCCACATATTATGTCTCTATTGAGCCACTTCCTTCCATATCTTTCCATTATTTATCAACTATCATATCATTTCATGCAGTATAATCTTTACAGTTCACAACATTGTTGAATAAAACAGATAAAACCAAAACCTTTTCCAAGATCTTGGGCTCTCATTAGAAATGAAACTGACTAACCTTCATGTTCTAGTAATTCTTCCATGCTGCTCTTTTTTTATTCTAGCTTTTGTAGTTATTGGATCAATTTGGAGAAATGTTGTTACTGTATTTCAGTATGTCTACTGATTCTCTTTCAGGAGGTAGGTATATATGTGCTTCAGAATGGTGTAAATGGTAGAATGTATGTACAGCATTTACATCTCACATAGGGACAGAACATTGTCTTATATTACAGATAAACCTATAAGTCGACCAGTCAGTGTTCAAAGGTTGAAATCTGCAGTTTGGATCGACTCACCTGCTTTTCCTCAAGTTCCAGTTCTAGTCCTTCCTTTATAAGATTCTCCTGAAACACCCTTCTCATCTCCCGTCTAGTGACCTCTGCAAATGTCATTACACCATAATCCTCTTCCTCATATACCAGCACCATGTCAATGCGTCGCTTTCCATCTCTGAATAACAAGGTTTCTGTGTCTGGAAGCTGGACAGACAAAACGACATTGAAACTGTGCTGGTTACCTTTTTCAGTCTGTAATATTTTGAATTTGTTGCAGCATTCTTTTCTCCATTCTCCATGCTGTTGCTGTAAGGTTTTTGTTAGCCCTCATTTTTATTACGGAAGTTGTGAATGTGGTTCTTGTCTTGGAGACTAGCTATTCTGACTAAAGTTTGTGATTTTTCTTAATTCTTTGAAAAATGCTGGGTTGAACTCTTCCTTGGATGTATGACTTAGTTCATCAGTCACAGTCATGCTGCAATATGGTATTGACCAAGCATTGTTAAATAACCCCCCCCCCCAAAAAAAAATAATAGCCATATATTTTTATAATTCACTGTGTATATTGCAAGTCTATTGTATCACGTCTGTGTTTATGTCTCATTGATTTATTGGCTTATTTTCATTAAATCTGGTATGATGGTTCTGCCACTGAAGGGTAATATTATTAAACTTCCAAGATTCTACATTGATGTTAGCATTGTTCCCATTTTAAAATGCTGATGACTGATATTCTGGGTTCATCTAAGAAGAGAATTTAAGAGCAGGATTACATTCATGCAAAGTTTAATGAAGATTACCAGTTTGCTCGTATATTATTAGAAAATGTGCATTTGCACACATACATACATACATACATACATACATACATACATGCAGACACATGTGCTGTATCTCGCACACATACGATTATAACATTTGTCACCCCTGTAACATTTCTGTTTGAGGATATGTTTTGAAAAGTTATTTAAAAGCTGCGTTTTATCACGTGTTAGGTGCATTGTTCCCATACATCATTCAGTCTTTCTTTCTGAACTACATTTTTTCTTCCTTCCAAATATCTTGGAATCACAAACATTTTAGGGATAGTTTTAAAACATTCTTAAGTTCGGAACCCATGTCACCCTAAAAGGCTGCTATCCTGTAAACCGCTTTAAGGAACTGAATAAATATTTTCAATGGCTGTCTTACAGAAACCTTTTGGCACTCGATGTGAGAAGAATTGCTGTAGCTTGATGCATCTTGAGATTTAACCGCAGTGCCTACAGATTGCTCAACTTTTATGTTCCAGCAAGCCATATTTTTGTGTTTTGTTTCCTTTCGTTTCAGTATCACCAGTGCTTTACAGCAGGAAGTGTGGAGTGTGATAACAATATCCTGATAGCTGGGTATCTGGTATGGAAAGTGAGGGAAGCTGTTAATAATGAAGTATAGTAACAAAAAGGTAAAAAACTGAATTATAGCAGGAATGTTTATAGTTAGAACATTTTTTTTGTTGTTGTGAGTAACAATTATTCTGCATACAGTCTTCCATGGTAGTTTATGAGGAAATTGGAAATGCCAGTGAAGGGGGAAAGGAATGTGGAAGCTGCTTCCAAAAGCGTGCTTATATATACAAGAGAGACTGTGGTTGTATTGAACCAACCTGATCGCATACTTTAGATGTGAAATTTCTGAAGCAGCTTCAAGCGGTTTTAATTTTTTTGTACATTCTATAAACATTAATAAATTGTATAGCAACTGAATATTGTCTTTATACATTTTATGAACTGGGTTACACTGGCTCGCATAGGATTCACTGCTATCTTCTAATATTCCTCTATCAACCTTAGTTTATTTTACTGAATTTGGTTAGTAATTTAGTTTAGTTGGATGATTAGTTTAAGTAGTTGGTGCTGTTACCAGTGAAATAAATAGTAATCAACAGAATTTTCTTTATTTTGGTGCATTTTCCATTTACTAATAAGAACTCATTAAAATATTTAAGTACTGGGATTACAGAAATCCTCTAGGAATCATATACAGCTAATTGATGTTTGCTGTTAAATGGATAAAGAATTTTATTGTGTATTATTTTGTTTTTATTTCATTAATTATACCATATATTTGTCTTATTATTTATTATTGAAGGCAAGTGTATTATTGTTATACTTATTGTTTTGTTTTGTAGAACAGTATATTGATTCAAGCTTGATCTGTAAGAAGTCTTGTATGTGGGTGTGGCAAAACAACACAATTCATTGGCTCAAGAAAACCTACTTAATAGATGTAGTTTAAAATTTGGTGACCATTCTCTCTCAAAAGAATCTTGTAATTATTTGTCAATCCAGTTCTGTCTCACACATGGTTCACAATGTAATGAGGTAGCTTGATAATTTTCTTGAGTGTTGAAGTACATCTTAAATTTAATAGGTGATAACCAAATCAGGCCCCAAAAAGAATGCATGAGGGAATTACTGGTGGATCACTGAGGTTGCACGTTTACATTCCAGGTGGGGCATGAAAATATGTTGTTTTTTTTTTTGTGTGTTGCCATGTGTATGTAGAAGCCATATGCCTCCATCCAGGCAGCTCTACCAAATGCCTAAAAGGATTAGATGTTTCAGAAATCAATTCTGAATCAAAAGATGTCAAAGGGCCATGTTATTTGGGTCCCTTGGTGACAGAATTCAGATATTCCAGAACAGCACTAACAAATCCAAATTGTATTCATGTAAAAATTAAGAGCAGACTAAATTCGGGGAATCCGCACTACCATTCAGTTTATAAAGATTAAAATATACAAAAATGTAATGTTGCCTGTTGTTTTGCAAGGGTATGAAACTTGGTCTCTCACATTAAGGGGGAGAATACAATTAGATTAAGGATGAATGGAACAGTAAGCCATCCAGTATAACAGATTGTGCCAATTATTACTAAAATGTAGTAACAAAGATGTCAAAACTAAAACTAGATTATATATGTATGAGAATAGGACATAGTATATAGAATAATAGATTGACTTAAGAGGAGGATTTAATGAAAGGCTGCAGCAAGTTGCATAATGAGAAACCATATAATGTGTACTCCTTACTGTATACCACTAGAATCGTTAAATCAGAATGGTGGGATGGGTAGTGCATGTAGCATGCATGGAAGAGAAGTGCATATAAAGTTTTTTGTAAGGAAATCCGAAGGAGGGAGATTACTGTGAAAACCTAAGTACAGATGGGATGATAATGTTAAAGTGTATTTTAAGGAAATACGGTGGGCGGTGTATTTACTGCGTTTATCTGGTTCAGGACAGGGACTAGAGGTGGGCTCTTGAATGTTTGTGTTCCATAAAATTCTGTAAATTTCTTGGTTAGCTCTCAAGAAGGATGCAGCTCCATGAAGTTAATTTAGTTACTTAGCTAATTAGTTGGTCATTTAATAGGCCAGAGGGCTGTGTCCACAATTGCAAAAGAACAAGTGGATTATTTATGGCATAACTAGATAAAACTTTCTGATTTTATTTTATGGGTCAAAAATTTGTAGCAGTGATATTTCATTGCTTACTGAGACAGTAGTCATTCCTGTTCATATCAAGTTCTTTACATTCAAAGGCATTCTGCAGCCGTAATGGAAAATGGCTTTTGTAAGGTTTAGTAACATGTGGGCGTATGTCAAGGAATGAAGAATATATATGTGATTTGCATAGGAAGCATTTTAAATCAATTGTTGTTTTTCTGAAAGAATTCCTTTGTCGTACCTTCTGTTATGTCCACATAATATATTGTCAGTATTGATTAATACTAGCTGATTCATAAAACCCAATGACTAGTTCTATTGAGCCAGTGCTTTAGAAACTAGGGCATTGCTACTAAACACGACAGGAGACATGCTGTTACTCTTTCCCGTTACTGTATCATAATTCATTTCTTGTGCCGTCAGTCATTACTTTTAATCAACTATTTAATATTACTCGGTTAATCATTAAATTAAATGGTTAATAGTAACCTTTTCACAGAATGACATATTAGGTGTAATTTGTATGTTGGCAATTTCTGATCCATCATTTTCAGACGTGTACTATTTCTGATTCTAATTGTATGTCTCAATTCAGAATGTTCTTCTTTTTCTTCAAGAGCACTACAATCCTTTACATGTAATGCAGCAGCATTGTTAACTTTAAAATGACTGCCATGCTTGACGAAGTGTCCCTAACATGTCACAAATGAATGCCATATTTTAACTTAAATAAACTAAGGAACAGAGAAGAAAGAATGAATATGACCTGACCTATGGACACCTCATATTATGAAGTACCTAGTTTGACCCCTTGCTGGGAAACCTGCTACCCTGGTTGGAGTTTTTGTGCGTTTTCACAGACACTACAGGTAAATGTCAGAATAATGTCTTAAGATAGGCCACATTGGCTTATTCATATTCTCTTTGCATTCACATTACATCCATCTATCCATCATTGAGAGATACATATCCTTTGCTGTTGGTGAAGCATTGTTAAACTAGAAGATTTATGAAGAACTTGTGACATCGGCTTTCCTTCAGGTGCTTCACTCTGTATGGATAAGTAAGTGTAAAGTTGTCCTTGTGCTTAATTAAGCACCATGCCATGAAGATATTTTCATGCATGTGGTGTGATTATAGATGGAGTGTGGATCGGTGATTGAATTCGTTCACCACTTTAACACATGACTTGTGACTACAAGTAACTATAACACTATCGCTGATATACACAATCTAGAGATCACTGTAACTGTAACACATGCTAAGCATTTTTCAGTTTGTGTTCATGTTCATTTATTTCAAATTCAAGCAGATCCAGATACAGGTTGCGAAGTATATTCACAAACCATTGGATATATTATGAGTCACATATCAGAACAAATGTTCCAATTAATCATTGGAACAAGTCTAGGCAACATGATGTAAAATATACATAACACAGGTATAGAACATAAATAAATATGATTACAAAAAACTGAATGCAAATGAAGAACGTATTAACTATTTATACAATAAAATTCCTCCAGTTTTTAAAAACAGTGCAACACCAGATATCTTCTTAACGAACCCTTAAAAAATTTAGGTATGTGTACAAGTTCTTTTAATTCAAGTGGTAATTTATTAAAAATGTTAATACCGTTGTAGCAAACACCATTTTGATACAATGATAGAAAGGAAGTAGGAAAATATAAATTTTCACAATGTCTGGTCTGTACATTATGCCTATCATAATTAGTAATAAAAAGATTCCTATGTAATTTATAATGTTATACTGTTACATTGTGTCCATTTTTTATTCATATATTCACTGCCGTCTCATGTGGAACACACCCTAAGGTTTAAAAATAAAAATTTTAAGATTTTAAAACTTGTTTCAAGTTGTATGTCTTTAATTAACACATCTGTCGCCTGTTTGGCTATCATCAGGTGCTTTATTTAATTCATTATGTGGGTATGAAACTCATCCCTCACTCTGAGACAGCTCTGTCAATCACATGACCCTCTTAAGAATCTGTTATTTTGTTCAGCCCTCACATCAGATTATGAAGGTTTCTCAGACATGTTTGCTTTTACTAGAATAAAATAAGTATGGAGAATTCTAAACAATATGAACATTAATTAAATATAAATTGTAGCAGTGACATGACTTGGGTCATCCTGTTCTGTCAACACTAACAATAGTATAAAATGCCTCACAATCGCCTCACACTGGATAGTGTTGCAAGTCATTTTGTACTATAGTAATAACAGTTCTATATATAATACGCAATGTAATGTTCAGTCTCATACTGTAATTACACTACGCTCTCCTTTCAGACATGATGCATCCCAGCCTACAGTGTCAAATGATAACCAGATTTGAGGTTCTGATGGTTGTGACCATGGGACACAACTGTATGTAGTGCGGTAGATCATTAACAATGTTTGGAGGAACCTTCTGCCCCCAGACTACATGACATCACATCCCATAAGATAAACGTTTGGCCTGAAAGGGTGTTAAAAAGAGTTTTACAGGCCTGCTAAAAGGGAGGGACTGAGATTAAAAGCAGAGCGTTTGAAAGCAAGATACGAAGAAGAATATTTCGATCTAAGAGTAATAAAATAATGAGGCCAAGAGGAAGACTGCATGACGAGAGCCCTCATAGTTTATATTCTGTGCCTAATAAAATGAAAGTGATTAAATTGACATAACCAAGATGAATTGTATATACTTGTAGCAAGCATGGGAAACAGGTGCATAGAAAATATTTGTCTCATAGTACAGAGAGTTTAAATTGTAATGAATGCAAAAATAATATTAAAAATGGATCATAGGACATATACAAGTTATAAGGATATGAACAACAGTAACAATAGGTATGTAATGTGATAATGATTAACCTTTTAAATCACAACAATAAAGAATTTCTGAAGAGTTGAATATATTGTATAGTGACTTCTCTGTAGTATAACTGTATCAGGGAATCAGGTATGAATCCACAGTTTGCTAAATGTGAAGCCATTCTGAAGAATATATGTAAGCACTAATGTGTAGTATTTACATCTCATGTTTTTGTGCAGAGCATCTACCCTGAAGATGGAGGTAGCATGCTTCTCCAAAATGCTGGTAAGTATCTACCAAACTACACAATGTCACATCCCAGAAGACCATAATCTTCATCCTCTCTACCGTGGAACCTCAACTCACACATTATAGAGTATGTGCGACCATTTTGAGAAGACCTTGTGCCAGCAATTTAATTGACACTGCCATAAATTGGTAACCAGCTGAAAGTGTAATCCTGTTTTTGGCTGAACAGATCAGAAATTTAAGCTTGATCGAAGAGTGTGATGGAGCAGTTTTGTGTACTGATAACACCCAACTTGTATTCAGGAGATACCTAGTTTCAATATCTGCTGGGTTACTGGATATCCTAATTGAAGACTTGCATGTTTTTTCTCAGTCTATCCAAGCAAATGCTGAACTATTACATTAAAATAGGCCTTCTCAACTTATGACTCTTAATCATCTCATCTCATTCAACTAGCTATAACCTCTGCAGCTGCATTAGCATAGTTAAATGACTAAGTCTATCCACCATGAGACGAGAGAGTGTTTTCTTTGAGACTTCTCCCTCTAGCCTTAAGAGAACATTATTTGTTTCTTTTGATACTCACAGCGCCATGCTCCTCAGCAGAGAACACTCCTTCTAATCCTCCCATTGAATCTTCATATGGAGGCACCTCCTTGGTGATGCTGATGATTCTGTCATTGTACTGTTCTCCAACCGGAGATGGCGTATCAGACTCTGCAGTTCTTTCATAACTGGTGTCCGTCATCGTTACTCGTGGACCTGGCACAAGAACATGGTAAGTTGTACTTTGTGTATTGCATTGCACACATTACAGCCTTCCTATGGTCATGACTTTATTCTTCCTACAAAGTAATTTATAGCTTGAAGACTTAATGACAGAATGAGGCTATCTGATAAACAGTAAGATGAAGATACATGAAATGGACTTAACACTAAAGAGTTCTGTATTCTTGGATTTAACGTCCTGTAGTTCATTGAAAGTCATAGTAAAGCCTTGCTTGTGCCTGCTTCATGCTGGTTGCTTGCTAGGCTTACTTTTCAGCATTGAAGATGGAGGTGACATGTTCCTCTGAAATGTCAGTTCGCTTCCAACAGACTGAAAGGCATTGTATCCCAAAGACAGAACTCTTCATAACCACCTCTGTGAGAACTTCATATCCTACATACAGGCTAGACAGTATTTAAGTGTATATGGAAATTGGGGATCTCAGGTGTACATGTATAATTAAAGAAGTCATAGTAAAAATGAAAGACAGGTATGTGAACAGATATTTCATTATATTTCTAAAGGGAAATGAGATTCAGAATGACTTTGAAGAAATGAATATGTCAACTATAAATTTTGGAACTTTGAATGATTTTCAGAGTTTTGTTTCCTCCATACTTGAGAAGTTGACAGTGCTTTTATTCAGGACAACCCCACATTCAGTAGACATATGACACAGTACCTTAATGGACAGTTCCCTGAACAATGGATTGACCTTTGTGGTCTGCAGAATTGGATCTCACTCTGCTAGATTTCCACGTATGGGAGTTACATGACAAACATGGCGCGTGAACACAAAATAAACATGCTATAATTAAGTGTAGTCATAAGGCGTATGTTAAAGTTGTTAGTAATTCCAATCTTCAATCCAAACCCTGTCTATATTCATTCCCTCCCATGACAATATTTCAGCTAGGTTGTGCATTGCTCTCCTTCATTGCCTCTTCAAATCAGTTTCAGTTTCAAATATCTATAGCTCCATAACTGTTGAGAATTTAACCCATGGTCATATGACTTTTCTGACTGTAAATAACCTGAAGTCCTGGTGTAAAGTTGCCAGGTACTCTGTATTATGTTACTTTCATGTGCTGGTAATTGAATACTTTGTATGTACAGGTCACAGTTAAATACAGTAGGTAGCAAGTATCAAATCATTTATTTTTTAAGTTTAATTTCTGGTAGAATATTTTGGAAGTTGATGAATTTAAATAAATTTTAATCTGTTTCTGTGTTTATCACAGCAAAATATAGTTAATTCACACAGTGTCACACAGTAAATAATCACTCCAGTATATTGCAGTATACCATATACATACTATTTTCTGTAAATAAACAGATGTGTTAAATCACAATTCCTATAAACTACTTTAATACGTTCGTTACAATTTCTGAAAACTCGTGTGTTATCCAATAAATGGTGGATTTATTTTGACATATAATGTCACTATTCTAGATTTCTGTTGCTGGACTTCCAGTGTTCATCTGCAACAGGCACTGAATATGCATTTTTAGAGACATATTATTATATTATTTCTCAGAATGAAGGTACTTTTCTTGGGAAAAATATCTAATACTCAGAATGGTAATGAATCTCTTTTAACATTCCCATATTTATGTTTTAGGCAAATTTCATATTTTGAAAGCACATTACTGCCACCCTTCTAGAAGGTTCAGCTCTGTGTGTGAATGCACATTTTTCTGCACCAGTTGTACCAACCGTAATATAATAAATATTCACCAAATGCTTCTCGAATAGCAAGGCCCACTCCCAGCATGGGATGAATTCCTGTCCTGGAGAACCGACGCATGGGGTTAGGGCTTGTATTGGGCGTGGTGACTTGGGTAGTTGACCCGGGCAGCTCCTGACCACCACTAGCAGGGTGCTGCTGGAGTGTCTCATTACTACCCTCATTGAGGCTTTTGCGTGGTGTGGTGGAGCATGATCCAGTGGGTTTCAACTCCAGACATGATCCAGTGGACTGACTTGCAGGCCTTGAATGTGGCTGAGGGCTGGCAGGTTTTGATCTGTTTGGAGCTGTAAGCAGAAATGTCATTAAATAAGATATATAAAGTAACATCACTATCTATCTTCCTTCCAAGCACCGCTCACAATGGAACTGTTATTGGTTTCACAAAATGGGTCCCTTGGTTGAGATGTTGTTTTGGGCTTCTTATCACTCTGGATTCATAGTTTATGACATTTGTAACATCCTTCAGAGCCCATTCCATTTGTAGGTTCTTTCCAAGACAGAAAGAAGAATAGACATACTGAGAAATACTGTACCCATTAGATAGAATATTCTTGTGTCATATTCTTGAGGATCAACTTATATTTCTCTGTAGTTTGCATTTGCTTCTGCTTTTGTAACATTTCTTTCTCAGGGTTATACTGTAAAAAGCATTTGTCACTCCTGCCTAAGGGCATAAATTCTGATGCTGACAAATCTAATCAACAGGAAAATATTGCAGAGTGGAAGAGCGTTAGTTAAATTTCCTTGTAATTGTATTAATTCTCCTTTCTTAAAGAAGTTCCATACTTATAAGATTGATCATGAATATTGTTAAGATCATATAGAACAGGTAAAAGGTTCTTGAAACTTTCAGTGAATTTATGTAAAACACGCCTGATAATGCTTAAAATTTCATCCTGATAGAAGGGTTGGGATTTTTAAAGTGGTAAAGATTCATATTTGTGATCACCTGGGGTATGGCACCGTATAATCTGCTGGGGGTTTAAAAGATGTACTTTATCAGATTTTCAAATTATAATTTTAAAAAGAAATAGTGAAACTTATTTTATCATCCATGATATGTAAGCAATGTCCGTCTTTTAGTGCACTGAATTTCACTTGGTGAAACTATGCGTGGTGTTAGAATTGGGACAGATAAGATAAATAATCTTAACAAGTTTTTAGTATATATATATATTTATTATAATTGACAAACATTTTTAAATACTTTTTAAATTTTACAATGACGTAATGGCAAGCAATGAAATAGATTGACGTAAATGGAGCACCTGATGATGGCACTGTAGTGCCGAAACATGTTGTGAAGTAACAAGTGAAATGGAGTGCACTAAAAGACGGACATTGCTTACATATCATGGATGAAGATCAGTGCAACAGGACGTTAAAATACAACATTATTTTATCAATGACTTTAAGGTGGCATTATTCATAACGAGTTAGCAAATATATACACAGTTTAACAATTCTAGTGCATTCTCTTTTTTTTGTTTAATTATCCTGAAGACTGCAAGATATGGGTAAAGTGTCCTTGGTGTGAAACATGTGTTCTATTTATTGGTGCATCTTTTGTGCAAAACATTTTTCATTCCAATAAAACTTGGCAGGTTACACTACAGATGCATGCAGAAACATATATAAATATCTTCTTGTAAACCGCCCATTACTGTTTCCTGATTTTAAACAAAATTTGGACATGTCAAAAAATTTCAGTAGAACTACCAGTATCAAATTCATGAAAACTTGTTCAGCATGTGTCAAGTGGTGTATGTACAGACAGGTAAACCAGCATGACTGAGCGAATGGATGTATCTTTGAAGCGTTTTCTTGTGGAATGCAGAAGTTTTTTGAGTGAACAGAAATGGAATTAATACAAAATGTAGATAAAAATATTACTTCTCATTATTTTAAAAAAATGGATAATTTTGTTCCCATTGCACATCTAAATATTAATGCTTAAAATAAAATCTGCAAAAATATAGTTTGTTAGTAATAATGAGTATTTGCCAACTAATTTGCAAAGTCAGCTCACCATAGATCTGAACAACCCTATTTATCAATCCCAAGTTATTACATTATATTTTTTTTTTATTAGACCAAAAAGTGCCATACCATAGGCATTGCTATGCTAAGCAGTGAACACTGATGTTTATACATCAAAGTTCATTGCAATAAGATCAGAAATTATATGGTATAAATTTAGGAAAAGAGGTGTAAAATATGGGCACAGTTCTTCACATCACTTTGGAAATGAGCCCAAAGGATAATCACTTTCCTTTACTGGTGCAAATTACAAAATTCTGTCAGCAGAAATTGAAGGCTGCATTCAACTGGACCAAACACCAGACCTGTCAAACAGAGAATACTTATTGCTCTTCAAATATACCATACAATGTTGGACCACAGGCACGAAGAGAGGGTTCATCTTACATGAACAAAAGGTCATAGACTACCCAAAGCAACACATTTTATCATATATATATATATATATATATGTCATTCCATAAGGGTAGGCAGGCTTATAGTGTCATGTCCATCTATGTCAGATAACTTCTCAACAAATTAACAGATTTCATAAAACTTGGAACAAACATGTCATTAGAGGCACCTTCATATGTTCCAAAGACTTGATCATTTCTTTGCAATCAAGTCTTTTTATGACGAGGTCTATATCCAGTCTGGATTGAACAAGGGATCAATGAAACTATGAAGGTGTGTATGTATGTAATGTCTTGTCGTCAATAATAGTAATATGGGGCCATGAAAATTATGGGGTTAGAAACAACACTGGATCAGTGTTAGTATACCAGTAAAGGATCCTGAAAATTTGTGTGCAGTAGATCCTTGAAAAGTATGCTTGGTTCACGAATTCCAATAGAATCTTATCAAACTAACTATAAATATTTTATTGTATTGGAAGAGCTGCTATAGTTGTAAAGACTTTAGATTTTACACCAAATTGTATATTATTTATATTGTATGTATATATTTTAACTTTTAGAACATGTATTGTAATAGTGGCTTCTAACTGTATTGATGTAAAGGTGTCCCTCTGGAGATGGTCTCTGAAGACCGAAACATGTAAGGGCATGAATAATTGAAATAAGAAAAAAAATCTTAACCAGTCACACTGTACAGTACTAATTAACTTTCTCATAATATTATTAGTGTGATGGACCAGAATGAAACAAATCAAATGCAAGTTCTATTAAGATAACTTTTTTTTTGTAGAATAAAAGATAAGAACATGTTGTCTGTGTGAAATCTAAATTTAGTTTTTCAAGTTGATGGCAGTAGACAATGAAACATTGGGACTAGGCATGTGATATTTTATATTAAAGACAAATAATAAAAATATCTCAAATTCTATATGAATGGTACTGGGGTGATTTTTCACCAAATACTTCGATTCCCCCTTCCAATTCTCATTCCATCAAATGCTCCATATTCATTAATGATCTTATTATCAATGCTATATAGTCTCGATACTGACAGCATGATTAAATACAAAACTTAACCTTAAAAGCCAGATGATTTAAACAGGATGCAGTCACTTTTTAAGAATATTAACAGAGTATTAAATGTGTGTTCAAAAGTTGATTTAGAAATTAGACAGGAGAACGTGGAGTGGAAACTCAGGTTCCCATGACTTTGAAAATTTTATGCCCAGCTTTTACTCAGAATATTGTGCCTACTAGATTTTTGGGACTGTAAGAGTCTACAGTTGATGAAATCCATGCTACACAGTTCCACCGTATCAACACCTTATGCAGCTGGTATATAAACAATGCATGAAGCCAGCGATAAGAAATGTCAAGGGAAACTGATAGGAGATGTTATGCACCATAACACTACTCTCTTCCACATGTCACTCTGTCAGGTTACAGCTTTCAGGAGCTCAGCCCTCACTCTGCAGTCCTTATTTGGACTAAAGCAGCTATTTCATGTTCAAATTTACAGAAAATTCTTTGGGAAAGAGGTTTTCAAGTTATGGTGATGGATGGAAAACATTTATGGCAGAAAATTGATTGTATTTGCATGTCTTTAACACAGTACACAACCAATTTTAATATAGTAGATTCCCATAACAAGTTGATACTTTAATTATTAGAAAACATTGTATACTTTGAAGGCTAAGAGAATCTGAATGTAAAAAGAATCATATAAAATAAAAATCCTGAATATAGTAACACTTTCAGATCATAAATAGTGTCAAGACATATGACGATACAACTTTATAAACCACTTGGCAGACCAGCACTATCATGTGGCAGCAAGGTTCAGACAGTTAGAAAGACCAATTAAGAAGATTGATGTTCGATGTTCTTCATGGATGTAGAGCAGGTTGCATTCTTTTTGACTACAAATGCAACAGATTGTAAAACAATTGTAAAAACAACACAGCGTGCCACAGAAACATACAGGACAACATCAAAGAACCCTCTTCTTGAGAATGACAAGGCGGCACACATTTGGCCCCCATCAAGAGAAATAATAAGAAAGACAACACAAACCTACTTGGTTTATAAATTCCAATAAAATCTTAACAAACCAATTACAAATATTTTAACGTATTGGAACAGCCACCGTAGTTGTAAAAACTTTAGATTTTATACCCAATTGTATATTATTAATATTATATATGTATGTTTTAACGTTCAGAACATATATTGTAATAGTAACTTCCAACTGTATTGATGTAAAGGTGTCCCTCTGATGATGGTCTCTAAAGACCGGAACATGTAAGGGCATAAATATTTAAAATAAGAAAAATCTTCACCAGTCACACTAGACGTAATCGTTTAACTTTTCATAAGATTGTGGCAGGTTTCACCAGTAAGAGATTTGCAGAGCTTACTATATATGCTTATGGTTTATTTTGCGCTGATGAACGTATCTGATATAGTGTTGAATGATAGGATTGCTGGCAAATTGAAAAAAATTTTAAAGGAAGGAATCATGGCCTAATTGAGATACTATTCCTGGTATTTGCATGAAAGGACCAAGGGAATCCATGAAAACCCCTGTCAGGATATCTGGAGTCCCAGCTGATATTTAAACTGAGCAACTCCCAGATAAAAGCCTAGAAGATTACTGCTACTACAACCTGTGCAATCCTACAGTACTCTTGCAAAAAAAAAAACTGAAAAGAACATGTTGTAAGCATATGATATGCTAAAGCCCCTCCCCACAAGTTATAAAATATCAACTCTGAAATTAGGAGAACCTGAAAATATATTATTAAATTATGTGTTGTAATATCTGCAACTGATTAACAAGACTGTGGAAGGATGATAAGTGGAACACAAAAATAATTTATAATGTTTCAGTTTAATATCTTCAGTATTATTTAGCTTTGTCATGAATACACCTCTAAAATCTGGGCAGTAATTCTAACACAGTAAACTCTGGGGATTATAGTCTGCAAGGGAACTTTACCGACCGAACGACCGCCACTTGTCAGCGAAGTTAGTGCCAACTTTTGCGGATAGAGGGTGATGTGTGGTCAGCGCAACGGATTCCCATGGCCATTAATCTTGGTTTTCTAGACCGGAGCCGCTACTTTTCAATTCAAGTAGCTCCTTAATTATCCTCACGAGTCTGAGTGGACCCCGTTCCAGACCCACTACTTCTCAGAAAAACTGGTAGCTCCAGGAATCGAACCCGGGACCTCTGGACCTGTGGCCAGGAATTCTGACCACTAGACCACAAAGGCGATCAGTACAGTAAACAGCATATTTTAATAAAGAAGACCGCCAGAATCTACTATCAGGACACTGCTGAGAGCAAAATGCTTCATATCACCAACCACACATTAACTACCAGTAATACTAGTGTTATACCTTAAAGCTGACTGTTAACACTTCCTCCTACATCTGTATCAATTCATTATTTACAATCATTCCACCAGATCTTGTTTAACAGTACATAATATCAAGAGTTGATATCTAATATCAAAATAATTTAAGAAACTATAATAGTTCTCACCTTTAGCATTTTCTTCCTCATTTTCTTCAGTTATTGTAGGATTACTTCCAGGGAGCTGTGGCATGGTCATCTTAATATAAGTTCCATTATTTATGCAGTATCATCCCTCTTAACACTATATTATGGCAAATTGGAATCCCACAATTCACCAGAAAGTCTTCTCAGGCCACATGCTGAGCAGTGCCTCACATCTAGTACATTCTTGCACTGGCAACTCACCTGTTACATCCCACAGTTGTAAGACTTCTCCTGCACCCCCCACCCATCTGTCTCTTCCACCGTAGTTGGATCAATTGTATTGCCTGAGCTTGGCTCAGCCTGCAGTCTAAATAATTAATGATTTGGGTCATCGTTGCCTGGACAACAGAGGTATGCAAGATTACAAAATTGTCATGAATAAATGCTTAGGTCCTTTCTTTGACTAAGACCGTGCTATAGTTTCTTGAAAGCAATCATGTAGTTTTCCAAGTGTAGTTAACAACAAACAAATGAAAATGTAGCTGTGAGAATATAACATAGCCTGGATATTATGTATTTATAGTTTCTATCATAGTATCCAACCACTTTCTGCGGCCCAGTTATTATTTACAATTTATATATTGGTACCATATAAGTCTAGCTAGCATTTGAGCCATATTGTTTAATATAAATCTGGGGACATTGTGATGTACTTAAATGAAATTTTTCTTTATTATGCAAACAATTTTCTGTAAGTATTAAAAAATGGATTAGAGCCATAATAGCTCAATCGGTATAGTGATGGGCTATGAGCTGGACGGCCAAGGCTCGATTCCTGGCAAAGGCATGAGATTCTTCTCTCTCCATAAGGTCCAGACCGGTTCTGAGGCACATCCAGCCTCATATCCAATTGGTACCAGGGCGTACAGCAGCCAGAGTGTGAAGCTGACTACTCACCTCCATCTAGTGCCAAGGTCAAAAATGGTAGCACTGTACCTATGCTTCAAAATATGCCTTCATGGCTTGGTGCTTAATTAATTAAGTACAGGGAGAACTTTATCTTTTATTATAAAATGAAAAACACTCAACCATGCTATTTGCACAGTTCTGTAAAATACTGATGCCATCCAAATCATTATATGAAGAGTCAGGAGCATTTTCTTGATCACTTGAATTTGTAGATTCTCTCCTAGTACTTACCTATTATCTGAAATCACTCTGCAGTTGCTATGACTGAAGCCAGGTTACTGTTTAGTCCCAGCATTTAACTGAAAATTTATTATATGCATCACAAATTTTCTCCATTTTCCAGTGAATATTTGAATAACTTTCATTTTTCTATTCCCAGTACATTATATCAATTTAAACTATAGTAAGAATTTTTATTTGGACTGGATGATATACATTTGTGTGTGCACTATACAAAAGACCCTCACTTATTATATAAATGACTTCAGTAGTAGCTTCAGTTACTGCTGCTTTAGAGAAAGCTAGAATCACACTTTGTCAGTACTTTGGAAATGACTTGACAGAACACAGAAGTACAGGAGATACACTTATTTTCAGAGTAATATATAAATTGTCTAGCTTAATCAGCAATGGAAATTATTACTAGGCGCCATGAAATATTTGTTGGCTGTGCAGACAGTAGATTTATGTCTGTAATGATGAATGTCATGACTAGTGAGGGTTGCAAAATATCAGCAGATTACGTTGGAAACTGTGTACTCAGTTCTGAAGTTATATAATGATAGCTACTTTAGTAAGTGATTTCTCTCATGACTATTGTATTAGTCACAATTATGTTCCTATCATAATACCATCTCATATAACAGTAAAGATTAGATGACACTTTTTGGAACTACATAGTTTCTGTATTGTTGAATGGCAAATTAATTGCATTGGGAAAATATGTAGAAGTGGATTTGACATGTTTAAGGTATGAGTACCGTTCAAAAATTTGTTTAGAAGAACTGAGGATAGCCATGAAAAATCTGGGTCAGGAGAACCAATTTACTGTCAAAGATCTAAACCTTGAACATCTCAAATATAAAATAGCTGTGTTAACCACTGCACTGTAATGTTTGGCTGCTCCTGCATTGAACTGACATTGCCTTCAGATATACCTTCTTTTGATGATTCCATTAGTATTCCAGTTTTACTTTTTACCAAGAAACAGAACCTAAAATAACGGAAGCTGCACGATTAACTATGCTGTTTGTGGTTTACTGCAATATTCATCACAGCAACTTGTACTGATATCACAGGCTTCCAAAAATATCCTAGCTTACCATCCTACCAAATTTAGTGGTTAATGTCTACAGAACTGTGTAGCCAATTATTTTTAATATCTTCCCAAGAACCAGCTTTCATTGTCATATTACTTTAGCTGGTACAAGTGTTTGGATAGTGTCTTAAAATTGGAAATTACCATATGTTCCTTGAGCTTTCAGTATTTCGTAGCTCACACCAGAAGACAAAGAATAAAAGATGATATTCCACGTAGTACTTTGGGAAAATGTTATATGTGATGAAACACAGTTTTACAACTACCAGTTTTAGCTGAGAAGTAACTTGAGCGGCTTTCGTTTCAGAGATAGCCAGTTTGAATATTGGCCAGGAAACTGGCTAACCTGACTGAGGGTTTGTGATTTACCTCAATTGCTTCCTTTCAGACCTCTGTCTACTAAAAAGAATTCATGACCATCTCTACATTTCGTTGTATATACACAATGTTTGTAGTTTATACATTGTTGTTAAATAGCCTGATGTTCAGTTCTTCAGTTACATTTACAATGTCAGAAATTTTGTTGATACCATTATACAGTATAGAACATTTGAATGTCATAAATCATAATGAAGAACAAAATCTGAGTGCCATAAATTTAATTGAAAGTGTTTGAGTGATTCTGTAAGCCATTGCAGAGAAAGAAAGAAATGTACAGTAAGCAAGAAAGTGAAAATGGGACACACAGAATAAGTAAGAAATAAAAAATAACTTCTCTTGCTTTAAAAACCAGTATGTATTTGTTATATGAGCACTTTAACGAATGGTATTCTAGGTGATGGGAGAACCCCCCCCATAAAAGCATACTGAATTTATCAAAACTTTTGTCAAAACTAATAATTTAATCACGTTTAGTTATGATGAAAGCATTAAGAAACCATAATCTAGTAAGTTTCTCTTACACAGTAAGTGGAAGCTGTGTAGTTTTGCTGTGGTATTTCTGACAAAATGTATTCAATAAATTTGTACTTACTATTATCCTTTGTGCTTGCTGGATTGGACCAGTGAAATCATGCGATGTGACATGCATGAATGAAGTGTTGAATGTGTCACTTGTATACTTTCATGAGCTCTACTTTTGTTGTGATATTGATTGCATGCCTACATGCCCACGTAACAATATAACTATAGTATGGACTCAGGTATCTTTTTAATGAATGCCCCCTGAATATATTGTCACATGTATGAGTGACTATGAATAGGGCATGGATTGGATTTACTGACCACTCACAGGTTGTATCTACAAGCAACTATAACACTATCGCTGTTTTCCACACTTTACGAGACTCTACAAGCTAAATCTTCTCCAGTCTGCAGTGTCTTCACTTGACATAACTGGCAACTGATTTTAACAGTGGAGATTCTTTAGCTTCACGCACTCAAGTCCTCTCTTCACAGGCTCCCATATAGAACTGACTAAGCTCTAACCTTGTCCCTTGCTTATAACATCTCTGCACGGATCATATAGAACGGCCCTGTGTATGCCCCCATCTCATTGTTGTTGAATAGCAATGGCTCAGCAAGTTATATTGCTCCCTTCTTAAGGCTGTTTGTCTTGAATGGCCTACAGGCGTACTGGCATTTCTTTTCCGAGTGTTGTGCTTGCGACGCCTGTGCTTGATCTCACCTTCCTCCCCATGGCTCGATTTTCACGGTGATTACTTTCCAGCCGCTCCCGCTGTTCCTTAAGGCCGCTCATCCCGAGTGCTTCCAACATAGGGTGCCAGTATCACCATTATTCTCATTTGCCAATCGATGGAGGCAACATTTGTGTGAGTGTTCAATGCTCCTACATCCATAGTTCTAAATCTGTTGTTAGTGGTCTCTTCTTTTGTTTCAGAGAGTGTTGACCCCTCCACAATGTCAATTCACTCATATTTCGAATCCTGACTGAAGGCTTGACTCTTGGTTTCACGATCTCCAGAATGAGAGCCTTTTTGAAGATCCTGCCGAATGTCCTCTCAGTTCCTAGACGTAGCTGCTCCTTTACGTTTCGGTCCCTTCCTCCATTGTCGCCTTCCAATTGCGCCCGACGTCTCTTCCCAAACGTCCTTCCTGCCGAGGTTCCTCTTTCAACATCGTCCCTACCTGATACCTGATGACCATGTCCCTTGCGATGTGCAGGAATGGCACAGGGGGTCATCCGTCTGCAAGTAGCGGCCAACTTTTTCCGGGACCCGCCAACGCCCTGAGTCCGTTTCAGCAGCTTTCAGTGAACACTACGTTTAGATGTCAGCCACCATACAGCTTCTTCGGTACTCTGGCAGTTCTCACTGCAGCATCTTCTTCAGGGACCTCCTCATGAACCGCTTCAAGCTCTGTTTCCACTGAGGCTGGCTCCTTACTCTCCATACAAGCCTCCATCTCTTATTGATAGGCCGTCGGCTCTTTTCGCCAGGCATTCATACTTGCTCCCACCCTTTCCTGAAGGGCGTCCATCTTGGCTATTATTTCTTCTTGGATGGCCTCTGTCCTGGCTTGGTGGATATCCACCCGGGAGACAAGAGTGCTTCGAAGGACCCCAAACTTGTCATCACTGGCGTCTATCCTGACTTCCATCTTTTTTTATTTTTTTTGATTGGGGTCTGTCTTAGCATCCATTTTTCGTGTTTGGCTTCCGTCCTTTCTTGATTGGTTTCCATTTTGCTCGGTATTTCTTCTTTCAGGAGGCCGGCTCTCATTTCCCTTAGAGTGGCGTCCATTTTAGCTATCAGGCATTCCAGTATTTATTCCATTTTCATAGTGTGGCGATATAACTATACAATGGAGTGTTCAATCAAATAATTCGATTGATTCAATTCTTTCCAATCCATCCCACTTCTGACACCAGTTGTCACATATTTGGGTGACTACAGATGGGGTATGATTGGATATTAGATTTATTGACCACTTACAGGTCATAACTACAAGTTACTATAGCACTATCACTAATTTCCACACTTACATCACTAAACGCTAATACTTCTCTAGCCTGCAGCGTCTTCACTAGACGTTCCTGGTAACGGATTTTAACAGTGGAAATTCTTCAGCTTCATGTGCTCAAGTCCTCTCTCCACAGACTCCCACACAGAACTGACTAAGCTCTAACCTTGTCCCTTGCTTATAACATCTCGGCACGGATCATATAGAAAACACCGTTTCCCTGTTCCATTCATTCATTCATTAATTCATTTATTTGCAGTTCTACAAAATCCATGGAGGCGTCTGCCTCAGATATAGAACAAGTCAGCAATACAATATAACATGTGAATATACATACATAATCAGATAGTCGTCATCATCATCAAAATTTTAAATACTCAATACAACAAGACTACTGTACAGCAATACATTCCATATATCAAATAACATATAAAATTACACACATGCTCAAGAGACCACCAAGACTCTTAATATAGTCATATAAAATCTCATTTCTTAGTATATAATACACCTATATCACAAGAGTAATAGTACCTTTTTCCTGTCTATTTTATTCCATAGTCCGTTGCATCCTAGTTGCATCCATGCATATCTTTTGTCATCTGAATGTGTTTACCAAGCCGTTGCCCAGAAAGTGATTTGATATATTCGCCCATCTCGCGTTTGTTCCATATCAACGGCTCTATACACTACGGTGTTTAGGGTTTCCATAATAGTTAATGGATAATGAACAACCCCTGAATATACTGTCACATGTCAGTGACTAGACATGGGGTTCAGATTGATAACTGAATCTACTGAACATTTATAACTCGTAATTACGTGTGTACAAGTAACTGTAACAGTCCCACTAATTTATGCACTTTGTAGATCACTGCAATTACATCACGCATAAAGTCGTCTGTTTGTGTTGCTAGGTAGTTGCTACTAACAATGCAACTCAAGCCTGACATAACTGTTGGCCGGTCGGTCAGTTAAAGCGCCACCCCCCCCCTCTATCACTCTCTCACTCTCTCTCTCTCTCTCTCTAGTCAAAGTCACATTGCGACTGACAGTCAGTCAGTCAGTCAGTCAGTAAATCTTGGTTTCGAGCCCCATCTGTGGCTCATGACTAGATATTTATTACTATTTGACAGTTACGGTCTTGATTCTGTGTGGCGCCCTCTCTGACGAGAGGATGGGTCTGTCTTTTGTATATGCTGCTGGCCCTTGCCAGTGCAGTCTTTCTTGGTCTGAGTCCCTTGGGACTCGTGACCATATTTTACTGTTTCAGAATTGAGACTTCCATTTTCGTCACCTCTTACGACTCGCAGGACTTTCAAGTTCTATTTCTTTATTTTTTATAGTCTTGGCACAGACCAAATAGAAAACACTGCATCCTCTAGTACTACATGTTTATTCATTGCTGTGCAAATGTCTTTACTGAGCCGCTGCCTAGCAACAGCCAGCTTTTGTTGTTCCATTATTCTGGCTTTCAGCCATCATTTCACAATATTTAGGAATTCTATAATAGATTCCCTTGCTTTATACCTTGATTTGTTATTATTTCAAAGGAAATAAGAATTAGACAATCCTCTTCTGTACCTTTCATTGCATCATTTGAATTTTTGGATTCATATATGCACACAATCCATGTTGTAAGTCTACTTTTGCCACAGAAAATTCTGAAGTATTTATTTATTGTAACTTTGGTACATTGCAATGCAGGAAGTGTTAGCTGTTCACTGGCCATGCCAATTTGCATAAACCATCTAACAAAAAACATGAGTTATTCGGAAGGGAATCATGCATTCATCTTTTCACATTTTGCACTGATCTTAACACAGACGTGTCATAATGCATATAGGTAAGCATATATGAATTATTTAGTTCTGAATAAATTGACGGTATGACATGAGCCTGGTAGTGTCATTAACAAGAATTAATCTAAAGCAAATTTGTATTGCAAAGACGGAGGAAATCACATTCAGTGTTTTCTGTGAATAGAACATTGCAGATTTATGGAAAATATGAAGTTAATGTAAATCAACAAACAAAGCATTATGCCTTCCATAGGTTGCTTGACTTCTCAGTGTGCCTGCATATATGGTTCTGACTATGCATGCAGCACATATTGAACCATTAGCAGGATCGTTGTTCATGTTTGTCATGGTAACCAGTAGTGGTGGAGTAAACAATCAATATCATTAGATAGGGTATTTCCTACATATGTAAGAGTTCCTGATTATAACCATTTAATGGGGACTGATGAATTAATATAACAGCACATTTTTTTCTGAACACACGTTCACTGGTGCTTTTATGCATGATTTCAGCCTCAAAGTTGAATCATGCAATGCACAAGCAGATGGACAGCTTTTGACAAGGTTATGAATATGACATGAATTTCATACCATAAGCATGAAGTGCCTTGAAGTATTGATGAAATCATGAATTCCTGTGGTTGTAAGTTCATATGTCAAAGTAACTGGATGTAAGGTTTAGCAGATTCTGTCCACGTAAGTGATGAAGAAATATTTCAAGGCATACTTCAGTGACCTAATTATTAAGGCTGTGCTATACTTCATGCAGTTGCAATTCTCAGTCCCAGAGTAGTCCATGTGGGATTTACTGTAGACTGAGTGGCAGTGGGGTAGGTTTTTCTACAAGAATTTCAGTTCCTCTACCATTTTTCATTCCACTCATGAAGGATTTGTACACTAGATTCGTTTGTAGCTGCAATACCAAGGGACTTGGTCTCACCTGATTGTAAAATTAAAAAACGATCTAATTTCTATCAATTTACATGTCTTTACATTAACTGTAGGTATAATATACAGTTAAAGAGGAAGTCATTTGTATCTTATTTTATGCAGCTTTTCTATGTTACACTACATGAATATGTATACTACCATGCAGGGGACCACATCATTAGTTTCTGAATTGTGTGGTTAAAATTTAAACTGAAAAATTGGCTGTTATGATGTTTTCCATGGTTTACACCAACTCTTCTGGATGACTCTTGGAATATCCTGAATCTTTATGTTATATAAGGGCCTCTCTTGGACACTTAATATTCTAATATCATATGACAGTAAATCATGGACAGTAAGAACTGATGGGAGAAGACTGATATCAGCAGAGATGCATTTCATAAGAAGAGCTGTAGGATCCACTCTTTTGGACCATAAAATAAAAGAATTGATAGAATGCAGAAAAGATCAGAAATAAAAAATCTGATTCTGAAGATATTAAAATATCAGTCAAAAGGAAAGAAGAGATTGGGAAGACCACAGAAATAATCAAAGGATTCTGGTTTGCAATATCCATGACAGGTCTCAACAGGCATAATCCTGGGAATGACTGTGATGATGATGAAGAGTGCTGTTCATCTTTAGACATTAATTATACAGTATCAGAGCAGTCATGGCCTATTGGATAATGCTAGAGAGACCGAGTAAAATCATGAAAAACTTGGTCAGGTTAGCTAATTCCTTGCCTGCGATTTGAACTGAATGTCATCGGTACAGTTCATGTGAGTTCAATAGTTATGTAATCCATGTCTTTCTTCAGTTCTCAAGTGACTGCTTTCCAAGATTTTTCTATAGGGTGTCTGAGAAATCAATACATGTTTTTAAATTGTAAAAATTTCACTTGTGAACTGATTTTAATGAAACAAATGGACAGATTATTCCATAAGAATCTGTGAAATTAACATCAATTTCTTTTCAGATGAGTAATGCATGCAGTGTTGAGTGCATGATACAGCCAAAATTGCAGCCCATTGTGAGGTTTCTGGATCAGTGATAAGCATTCAAAAGTGGTTGATGGCTGAACATGGAATTAATGCAGCAGTGAATGCTTGAACAATAGCGAACTGCTGCCAAACCTTAATGACAATAGGTTTTATCACTGATAAGACAAGATCAGATGACCATCATCCTCACAGACTTCTGAGAACATTACTTCTGTGAATGAAGAGTTCACAAGAAGCCCACTGAAATCAGTGTTTGCAGGTGCTCTTGAAAGCAGGTTCAAACATTATGCAGTTAAGACCATCCTAGGAAAGAACTGTCTTTTAAACCTTGGAAACTCCATTATGTGCAACAGTTATTTCCTGATGACTGTGGCAGATGGAAGGAATTAGCAGAATCGTTTCTGGGATGGAATTACAAATGTCCACAGTTGTTTCATAACATTCTTTGGAGTGACAAGGCAGTGTTTCATGTTGGCAGATTCGTGAATCGACACCAACTGGCATTACTAGGAATCTGAAAATCCAGATAATTGTATGGAAAAGGCTCACAGTTGTCCAGAAGTAACAAGCTGGTGTAGTATCACAGTGACCACGTTTGTTGGACTATGCCTTTTGTTTGACATGATGAATGCTGCAAGATACTTCAAAGTGTTGCAAGACCATGTGTGGCCAAATCTCCAAGAGGTAAAACACTGCAACACTTCATATCATGCAGGATTGGGTACTACCTCATTTTGCAAATGCTGTCTGCACATGGCTGCATGACCATTTCCCAGGGCAGTGGATTGGTTGATGTATTCATGAATGGCCTCCCCACAGCCCAGATGTGACACTTTGAGACTTTTTTCCTTGGGTGGGCCAAGGAACAAGTTTATTTCAGAAAACCTAGAACAACTGGAAGAAAGAATAACCAGTGTCCTTACTACCATTTTTGAACACATGTTGCAGTCAGGAATAGCTAACATGCTAGTTCATTTAAGGAAATGTTTAAATTTCAGGTGATAATGTGGAATTTTGAAGTATTTTCTACAAAACCTTAAGGAATGTTGTATTGTTTGCAATCCGTTTAATTGAAATCAGTTCTCAGATAACATTTTTACAACAATTTAAAATATGCATAACCTATCAGACATTCTGTACATCAGAATTATGTATATATTACATAATTCTTCTATCTACATGTACATCCCATCACAATCTCCTTGATTTAACAGTCCTAGGTTAGAGCCATAGAACCATGTTAAAATCAGGGGTAAAGTTCTCTGTAATAAATAGGGGTAAGTGGTCATCTTCATGCTCTAGTCTCTTACCCCTAGGGAAAAAGCACCCAGTGTCCATCAGATAGGAGACTGGATGGGACCCAGATCCAGTCTGCATGCTGTGGAGAAGTGACAGTAATCAAATTCTGATTCCTTGGTTATTCAGACCATAGCCTATTTGCTGTCCTGACTGAACTATCCTGGCTTCTGATCCAAAAACATGAAGTGGCTAGAGTGCAGCTTTAGAAGAACTTTTGTGCTTTGTTTCTTTAAATTCGCTTAGTGGGGGGGTGGAGTCAAACTGGGTCCACTCGGCACGGCAGCCACTGATTGGCCTATGGTAGCCTGCCCCGGGTGATTATGATGGAGAATTTGGTGGAATGAAGATTGGCAAGGGAAACTGAGGTACTTGGAGAGAACCTGTCCCAGCGCCACTTTGTCCACCACAAATCCCACTTGATCAGACCTGGAATCGAACCCGGGCCGCCACAGTGGGAAGCCAGTGACTAACCGCTTGAGCTATGGCATGGCCTAACTTTGTGCTTAGTTTTTCAAATGTTAACTGATTAACCTTATATGTGGGTGCCATATTGAACACTTACATCTCCGTCAAAAGATTAGCAATTTGCAGAACAGTGTAATTCTAGATATCACTACATGCTAGTGGATATATTTAATGACTGTTTGATAAGTTCTGACCTACTCCTACTACTGTGACTGCCCTTGGCACCTATTCAATTGTTGCAGTATTCATTGGATCAATAAGTCAATTTATTGATTCTTACACAGTCCTCTGTCATGGGGTGTTGGGGGGAGGTGGACATGATTTATTTCTGTAGATGAAAACAGCAAACCATGGAAACAAAAATACATGTACATGCCTATAGAAGCAGTAAAATTTAATGTACCTTACTTATTTATATCACTGAATGTCACAGTATAGTTGTTGGCATGCCTAATTTGACTCAGTATTTTTTGGGTTCATGTCTGTCCAGGCTGAGATATTTTGTGGCTCTTATCAGTCTTTCTGGGCATATGTTCAAATAGCATATTAAAACAGGTTATGTGACTGCTTCCTTCCATATCCTTCAGAATCATCCTGACATTTTATGCTGTGTAACCTGCAGATTTGTGAAGGTGTCGGTATTCAAATAACCACACATCCTAGAAAATGCTGGGATAGTGCCTGAATGTAAACCAAAACTGCTTCCTTGCCAGTCATTTCAAGCATACTGTGATTAAATAGATTAAATACACTATTGGTCCACCAGTCTCAGTTACATTCAATTTACATGAAATGTGTTGTATTTCTGGATCTGACAGTGACAACTTGCATTAATGTAAGCAAGAAGTTTCTGATAATATATGTTAAAACTCTTCTGTGTAACAAGGAGTTGTTAATAGAAATTATAAATTTCCTCTTTTAGCAAGGAGTTCTGGATTGTATGTGTTAGGAATCTTCTATATAAACATCTGTTAAAAGTCTTCAAGAGTTCAGGATAATTTCTTTCAGCAGCTTTCTATGCAAGCAAGGAGTTCTGTGTATGTCTGTTAGGAGATTTCAGGACTTCAGGATAATACCTGTTAGAAGTTTTATTTATAAGCAAGGAATTGTGTATGGTATATCATCTCCAGTTCTTTATTTATTTATTCAATTATTTGTACAAATATGTTTATGTTGTGATCTGTCAGTATAACTTAATTTTCTTTGGCCTTGGGGAGACAAATTCTGATATTCATTGAACAGGACCATTGATAAATCACATAAGAATGTGAATGGTAAGAGTAAATTTGTCCCTCTGTGTGAAAACATATAAGAAAGATGTGGAGGCAAACCTCAAAGTCTTCTAGATCTCAGAAGTAGATGGAAGTAGATTGATCAAGCTGATGATAGGGTTCAAGAATGGGCTTTTGTAATCATGGTGCTGAACCCTCAATAACAGTATTCCTTTGCGGTTCATAATTCATCTTAATATCGGTTCTCCTAAAGGACTCTGTTGCCCTCCAGTATCGCAACTATAACTAACTACAGTGTAAGTGGTGCAGGGATCCCTATGTTAAGTGGGTCCCTTGTCACCATGGCATGGTGTGTCCTCAGGTTGTGGATGGAGGAGACAGCCACCAGATAATGGAGGGTAGCTGTGAATATATTAAATTAACAGTTATGGACAGCAGACAAGTGGTGGTCCTAGGGCTAACAACTCCTAACTGTAAAAAATAAGCTTGTTACAAAATGTCGCAAATGGCCTTGTACCTAAGCCAGATTCTTTGGATGAATGACCTAAGCTAAAGAAAATGGACATGAGTTTTGAGACATGGAATGTAAGAAGTCTCTATAGGGTAGGTTCTCTCAGGACAGTATGCCATATGCTGGGTGCACAACCCTGCAGTTGAAAAATTCTGTGTATTTAACAATGTATCTTGTATGACACTTCTAGCAACCATCGTTCACACCAAACGGATGGCAACAGTCATGATATCTCTCACATAATTATAATTAATTGTAAATGGTACCTTACAACAGAGAAACTGCAAAAAAAATGTGATTTCTGGGCTTGATGTAAATTCATGTGCTGTACAATATCTTGAGGGGCATTTTAATATATCTGTCATGGCAAGCATGCAATTCTAAGTTTTAGTATTTATCCTGTACTATATACAAATAGTACAAACTCCAGAATAGGGAAAATTTTATAAAAATTTATAGCTGGTCATCTTGGTCATCTTGGTTTGCTTTTCTTTGCTGCATGGAGACAGACTGAGAGACTGGTCATGTCTAAGATATCCTGTACAGTGAGTTTATGAAGGTGATCTGAGATGTTAAATCATTCTTCTAAGAAGACAGTTTGAAAATAAAAAACAATAAATCAATTTTACTGCATACAGCAATACTGGATGTGTATGTGTGGCTTTGAAAATTAGTGCATCTACAGTTTGAGCCACATTGAAGGAAATCTCTCTGCATGTAAGTTGCTATGTACCGTATTTATGCATGTATAGGCCGCAGCACAATTTTCAGACAGAAATTATAGAAAAAATAATTTTCTTGTAATATTATTTCAGGAGTAGAAATTATTCTGAAATTTGGCAACGTTTAACATTCCCAAGTTCGCAACTGGCGAAAATAACGGTACCGCTCGGAACAAAGGCATTGCAGGGGAGAGTTATAATCTTTTCGCCTTTACTTGACTTGCCTGGTTAGTTCTGAGTGAAACATGGGTCGAGTAAGAGCAGATTATACGTCTAAATTTAAACTTCAAGTGGTGCGTTACGCACAAGAACACGGAAATCGAGCAGCAGGGAGAAAATTCGACGTTGACGAAAAAAATGTGCGAAGATGGATACTAACGAAAGATGCCCTTGAAAAAACGTCACAAAATCGACAATCTTTCCGCGGAAAGAAAGCTAAATTTCCAGAACTTGAAAATAAACTTTTGCGATACGTGCGTAATACACGGGCGGATGGATTTTCAGTGTCTGTGGAAATGATTCAATTTGAAGGCCTCAAAATAGCGGACAGAATGAAAATTCCTCGTAATGAATTTAAGGGAAGTTATGGATGGGCAAGGCGCTTTATGGCCCGACATGATCTTGTAATTCGGCGACGGACGTCAATAGCGCAGCGCCTTCCCGACACATACCAGGAGAAACTGCTTGCATTTCAAAAACATGTCCTGAAATTAAGAAAGACGCACAACTACACCATGGGAGCTATTGGAAATGTTGATGAAACTCCTGTGTTCTTTGAAATGCCGGGTGAAAGTACAGTGAACAAAGCAGGCGAAAAAACAGTGCATGTGCGGACTGCAGGAGCAGAAAAGCAGCGGTGTACCGTAATGCTTGGTATCACTGCTGATGGAAACAAACTACCACCATTTGTAATCTTCAAACGCAAAACATTGCCGAAAGAAAAGCTTCCACCGGGAATTTTGGTGAGAGTTCAAGAAAAAGGATGGATGACAGAAGAGCTCTATCTGGATTGGTTGAAATCAGTGTGGTTTCGGCGCCCAGGCGCACTTTTACGTCAGCGGTCAATGTTAGTGGTTGACAGTTTTCGAAGCCATTTAACTGAAAATGTGAAAGTGAAGATGAGGCAGGAGAAAAGTGATATGGTTGTGATACCAGGGGGGATGACTGGCATGTTACAACCACTTGACGTGTCAATAAACCGTCCTTTCAAGTCTCATTTGCGGCGCTTTTTCCCGGACTGGAGATGCGGTTCCACGGAGATGACGCCGACTGGACGATTGAAGAAACCTTCATTAAGTCAAATGTGTGAGTGGATTGTGGCTGCATGGAACACCATACCAGAAGAAATGGTTTCCAAAAGTTTTAAAGTCACATCCATTTCCAACGCAATGGACGGGACTGAAGATGACGCTGTATGGCTGACATCACCTGACAGCGAAACTTCGAGCGAGAGCGACATCGACAGTAACGAGTCAAGTGATGAACAGTAATATGGTTCAATTACCGTGGACCAACTTCAGAAAGTGTCGCATAATTTATTCATGCGATGCGAAGCATGTTTGCAAGCAGAAGGGGGTCACTTTCAGCACCTGTTATAAAGCACGGTAAGTTTGTGTTATCTTTTTACAGTATTCTTATAAATGTGTGCATGTACAGAAACTGATGTAAGGGTATCAGCGACACGACTGCACTCTCGCTAGCGGGGAGGGGCACAGTAGTCGCGGAGAAACATTCCATCCGCTCTACGCTGCTGCCCCGGTTTCCTCGATCTTTGAACACCCTGTATTACTAATTATGAATATAATTTTTTTTTAAATGAAGTGTGATTTCGAATATTTCGAATATAAGCCGCACCCCAGTTTTCCTCTTGAATTTTTGGCAAAAAATGTGCGGCTTATACATGCGTAAATACGGTATATCTGAGGCATAACAACTTATTTCATGTTTTAATGGAGCGTAAGGTTAACCACTCCAAAATATATATGAACATTTTTCTCAGGATTAAAATTTATTAACTGATTGAATAGCATGGGTACAAAGTTTTACACATACCATATCATAGCCATTTCAACCCAAATGAACTGGTTTGGTTCCAGACTAAGAGATATTACAATAGCAACATTGGTCAAAGTGTGTTTGGAATATTAAGCTGCGAAAAAGATGTGGGAGGAGTCATGGGAACAGGTTAGTGTGTCTGTTGTTTTGACTACAAAGCAATGACTTGAAGCTCAACATAAAATTGCATCTATTGCTAATCTTTTGTAGTACTGCTGTACAGTGTAGACACAGTGGTACAAATCTTTTTGTTTTTCAGCTCTCAGGTCACACCAACAGTGAGAGAAAATTGTGTGTGACATGCAAAGAAGCTGATGGAGATCTGGAAAGCAGAAACCTCTATATAAAATAGGGAAGCTGTGGACCCTGTTATGTTAGAGCCAGTGAGCAAACATGGCTACTTCGTCGCTAGATCATGACATACACCATTACATTATCACTGAAAAGTTACTACAGTCCATTCACGGAGACGAGAGAGTCCTCATAAACAAATGCATGTGGTGTCTCCTTCACTCTTTGAATGAAATCATGCAGTGATCACGTGATGCATGTTTCGTTGCAGGGGCGTCCAAAGTTCACTCTTCAGTCTGAATGCAGGTTAACGTGCGTCCGAATGCAGTGAGTACACTGAGTAACTGCGTGCTTTCTTCCCTCCTTGCTGTCAGCTGTGGCGACGCGGGGCTTGCTTTGTTTACGCTGACTGTCTTGTCTCCGTGAATGGACTATAGATTGTATTTTCAACATACTTTTGGTATTTATGTGCTCATGGGAAATTCAAACATGCTGGGTGAAAATGTGCTAGATGGCAGAGTGTATGTGTGGCTATTGTAAAAGCAATGTGTGTACTCTATCATTAAACTATTAATATACTGTGGCATGTAGACATGTTGCTAGGCAACAAGCATGAAATAAGCAACTATACAACAGCCATTGCTAAGTAATGGCTATAAGTAGTGATCACGTGGGCACCCCAACAGAGGAACAGCAGAATGGCATTCTCTGTGTGATCCATGCCAAGATGTTATAAGCAGGACAAGTTAAATAGAAAAGGGTCAACCTGTGTGGAGACAGGTTCGAATACCTTCACCATAGCCCTGCGAGTTGTAGGTGATGAAAAGGGAACCCAGTGCCTGGGGGATATAAATATGGGGACCTGGCCCCCCAGGTTGGGGGAATCTTGAATCTGTGACAGTAAAATATGGTCATGAGTCCCATGGGACTTAGGCCTGAGAATGACTGCACTGGCGAGGGCCAGCAGCAATGAATGACACACCATCCTCTCACCAGAGAGGATGTTACATAAGGCTATAACCACAAGTGTTTAGCTAAAAAAAAATATACTGGTCGTATGACTCGGGGCTTGGCACCAAGAGGAATTGACTGGTGATAAACCACCAGTCATAAAGTAACTCTGACTCTTACTCTAGTTGGTGAGTTAGATAACTACTGGGGTTCAGTGGTTTGGAGCTCTTGCTGTTAGAAGCTGGTAGCTGAGGCTGGGGACAGTTTGGGAACCCAGAGGAAGGGGATGGTCCACCGTTGAAAGTCACTGCCAAGCAACGGGTAGTGAAGACTGTAGAACAGTCACATCATAATCCTTACTTGTAGTAAAGAGTTGTAAGAGTTCAGTAAATCCGATTACCAACCCAGCCTATTACCACTGTAAGATCGTGACAATACTATATTACAGTCAACTCTCGATTATCTGGGATAATGGTGGGGATGGAAATCACGATTAATCGAAAACCCGGTTAAGGCAAATTTTATTAAAAGTAGTACTGTAATACTGTACCTTCATAATACTATAGGCCTACCTGTATTTAAATTTATTCAACCTCATTTTTATGTCATCTCATGGCCTATTTAATACCTTTTTTACATTACACTGAAATATGAATTAGTTATTTCAATCACAGTCTTCAACAACATCCAACATTTTTTTACAAATATTCACACTTAGCACTTAAAAAAAAATTAATATTGTCGTTTACTTTTTTGCGGCATTTTCCTTTTTCTGTTGAATACTTAACACAACACGCTTCCTTTTACACCCTGACATTTTGCTAACACACTTGAAGATTGATACAAAGATACTAACTGGGGCGATGTATCTGTCCTTGAAACTTTCCACAAATACATTGTGTTAGCATAACGGGACCAAAGAATGCAGAGCTCAGTTCACACTAGTGCGAAAATAGTGTTACAATTCACCATGTGAAACAAAAGTGAATGAATATTAAACAACATATAAGCCTCAAAAAAGCCTCAGTAGCCCCGGTTAAGCTGCAAACTGGTTAATCTGGCCCCGGATAATCGAGAGTTGACTGTACTTTTATTCAGAATGTTACTCTTGTTTCTCTTAGAAATAATACTTTTCTAATACTAAGTTTAACTTCAGTTTGCAGAACTGATCCATTCTTACTTCTTCTAACATTTTTCTTGGTAAAGCTACTCCAATTTCTGTAAACAAATTTTTTTTCCTGAGAATAGCAATACAACAGGTGCTTAAATTTTTGTCAGCAGCTCCAGATGAGGGGTGATTTCTTTGGAAAGCCATTTTTAATACTCCTCAATTTATGTGACAGTACTGTTCTGGAAAAAAGTCACTGTGAAATCGCATAAATCGAACATACTAATTTCCTCATAAGAATCAATGAAAACCTGAGATCTGGTACAAAACATATCAGTATTCTTGCCATTACTTAAACTGACTGCATTTTTCTTGTAACAGTAGATGCACAGAAGAGGTTGCTGCATCAAATTCCCCTTCTCCTTCTGTATTCTGTTAATGCTTTCCACACAATACTCTAGCCCCCCACCCCCCCCCCCCCAACCCCCCAATACCCAACAAACACATCTCATTATAGTTCATCACATAAATACAAATATNCCCCCCCCACCCCAACTCTCAATTAGCCAGCAAACAATTTTCATTACAGTGCATACTGTTAATTAAATTTTATCCAAATTGGCTGGATTAAAATTAAATCACAGTTTATGAACTCACATATAACATGGAAGACCTGTATTTAAGTATAATACTGTATTATATGAGATGTCTCTATACGTATTTATATTTGTACTGGAAACAAGTTATTTATTTTATGACTTGTTCTACATCCTTGGCTTAGGCTTATGAAGTTTGTATAGACTGAAAATAAATTATATTTTCTATTCTACCAAACCAACAGCATTCCAAATTTTGGTAATCTGCCATTTTTGTGATGGATATTGTGCTATTACATTACTTACATGAATGTACAAGATGTGTCATGTATAAAATTACAACAGTAATAACAATAACTTCATGACCTGAAATGAATGCTAAAATTTTTAAATGCGTCTTGATGATTTTTATGAAAGGGCTGCAGGTGAAAGGAAGTGAACAGTGACATAAAGAATAATAGTTTATTCTTCATTAAACATTCTCCAGGTATGAACAGTTGATGAAAAACAAGGTTTCCTCAAAACAAACAGGTTGTTTCTTTGTACAGTTTAGGGTTGACAGGATGATTAAATTCATTATATGTCTTCCACATATTGTAATATGGTAGCTATACAATTCAAGATAAAACCTCTCTCTTCTAATAGCATTAGTGGTAGCAGTGGTAATGAGATGAGCTGTTATACACCATAGGCAGGAGCCTTCATGCTTAGCCCATATGCAGTAATCTTCGTCTTTTCTGAATGAAAAAATGTTGCCTGTCTTCTACATCTGTTTGAATCAGACATATATCATAATCAGGACTCGAGATCCTTCAGGTCTTTAAAACATGGAACACAAATCCAAACCATGCAGTTCATTCCTTCTTATTCAGTCCATCGGTGTGCACAGTGTGCATTGGTGCATACATAATACAGTCTCATCTCCTCCTGAAATACAAAAAAATACATTATTTAATATCTACTATAATTGAACTCTCTGATATTACATCCCTCAACAGAAAAGCTGGTTTTACTGATCCATTCAGACCAATCTGTTATATTTGTGTGCTGACTCATTCTGTATAGAGTAGCGCTTCTTTTATTTGTGCATGTTTAAGAATAAAGACCACTTTGTGGTCAGAGTTCTTGGCTACAGATCCAGAGGTCCCGGGTTTGATTCCTGACGCTACCAGATTTTCTGAGAAGTATTGGGTCTGGAATGGGGTCCACTCAGCCTTGTGAGGATAACTGAGGAGCTATTTCAAGGAAATATGGGCTCTGGTCTAGAAAACCGAGATTAACGACCGTGGGAATCCATTGCGCTGACCACATGACACCCTCTACCTGCTAAAGTTGGCACTAACTTCGCTGATAAGTGGCCGTCACTTGGTTGGTATAGTTCGCTTGCGGACTAAAGGCCACGGAGTTTGAGTGTTTAAGAATAAAGGTGTGAAATTTCTTCTGCAGTGTCAGACAGTTCAACCAGTGGCACTTGTGCAGAAACCACGTTGGCTAAGAGTGGAACTTAGGCGGTTAAGTAAGAAATAAGTAAGTGGATACATTATGGTACAGTGTGTTGTTTCTTAGGTAACTGCAAAATGAGAAACAGAAGGCTATAACTATGGCCTCTTTGAAAAATATGAAAGGATCACTAAACTGTCAGGCCAGTTCCATGACTGCAATTTGAACTGAATACTTCTAAAGCAGAAATCCTAACATTACACTCTGACATTTGATATGTACAGGAAAGTTACAATATTAGTTTTTATTACTTTGTTCACTTTATAGTGCTTTATTAACAATGGAAGTAATACAGCATTGAATAAAAATATAAAAGAAAATCTGGTATATATGAGGATGTTGTCCCAGGTGAGATACAATCTAAGGGCTTTCCAGATATGAAGAAACAGTACTAACTACATTAACAGTTGGTGAATTAAGTTGCATTATAACTGGTAAAATTAGTAGGTATGTGGTCTGAGGTAATAAACAGTTGAATTATACAAAGATCATACCAACAGAGAGAGAATTCTTTATCCCAGTAAGGTACAATACACTGGCATGAAGAACTTTCATTGCATCTTGAAATAAGATACAGAACTTACTTCAGCTCGCCGTGTCTGTGCCTGGAAGAATACTGCTTCTCGATGATTGCATTTTGGGCAAGGGTGATCCTCACTCCGAGGTAAGGTGGGATCAGATATCACATCTGATACAATATGTGTCAGTTCACTGTGAAGGCAAGATTAGTTTACTTAGCTAACTTAACTGTCTACAACTATTGATAATAGTTAGTTGCACCATTCAACATGAATTTCCTCATACATTTTAAGTCATGTATATGTATTTTTTAACCTGATTATAAAAATGAAAACAAAATCTTTCTATATTGCATTATTTTTGCATGACACCTGAATTCAGATTATTTAAGATTTACATTACAGTATATGGGGGGGGGGAAATCTGCTATTTACTCATCCCATGCTTTGTAAGGTTCTGCTCACATACATATACATACACATACATACATCAGCGTTTCAGAGTATTCATAAGTGTGCAACTGGCACTGAATATAAAACTTGTCAAACAACAGTCACAAGACAATCACAGATAAAATTGCAGAGACATCAGTTCAACCATAGTTAAAATCTAAACTGACTACCTCAATTAAATAGAGACAATGTTACACATACAATTATACCAACAAGATAATTAGCAATACATAATAATTCTCCTTCCTTAACTTACACTTACACTTAATGTCTATATTGATGCCTACTGTGGGACATCATCAGTCAGCATGCACTCCCATTTTATTCCTTAGCTGATGATCCCGACAGAAGAGCAAAAATTCATCAACAGTATATGACGGAATTATGTATTAGGACATCTCTAATTACTTTTATAAACAATTGCTTGCATGTCCATATTTAGGACATATCCACATTTGTTCAATTTCACCACACTGCTTCTGTCACTTGATTTCACTCAGTGAACCTCATGTATTTTCAATATTATATTTAAGCATCCTGTTACACTCACACAATATATCTCATGTATTTTATTTATGGCTTTTCTTAATCAGTGGTGCCAAAATGAAAGAAGGGATATTTGTGGGATTCATACCTTAAACAATTATGTTCAATATTTGGGCTTTAACTCTGCTTCTCATGTGTAACATAATGGTCCCAGTAATCAGAAAGGTCATAGTGGGAACAGTGTCTAAATAGCCATATCATATATTCTAAACAGGAGGCCTAGTTCAGGTTTTGCAGTGTTCAATTATTTCTTGACAAGATCACTAAGGACAAACCTAAGTGTACAAGTAGGTGCTGTTTAAAGAACAGAAGGGGGTACCTATTCACATCACATTACACATGCTCACAAATATTACTAGATAAATAAAGAGATTTACTGGTTGAGCTGGTACAGTTCACATCAGTTTCTGAGTAAAAATGAAGATGTAAGTTATATAATGGAGTGGAGACTCAACATCCTAATCTATATACTTACCTACATTTCTATTTTCTATTATTTATGTTCTATATTTATTATTATTGCTTGTATATATATATATACCAAGTAATAATCTATGGGAATTAATAGACATACAGAGATCTTAGGTATCTACAACCTATTTGACCCTTTACTAAGTTAACTTTCTTATTCTTTATTATTTGTGAGGACCACGAAAATCCAGGTGTCTGTTGATCACGCTTCCCAGCACCAAATGTACTGTCTAATTTGTTCTATGGTCTACTTACTCAATTTCATGCATAATTTTGTTGACATAAATGCAACTGCTGTCAGCTAGCTGCTTATATTCACAATTCCGACACTGAAATATGAAAAGGAATCCACAGGTGAGAAAATTAAGTGCACTGGCAAACAAAACTATTGTTAATGTACCTTCAGTTTAAAAACTTCCAGACAGGAAGAATTCCTCTCCACTTTACATAACGTACTTACTGCATATAGTAAAACTTTATTCTCTTTATCCTCCTTCGGGTACAACATGTTATTGCTGTAATACAAATTTTAGTTCAAATTAAAATAGTCGTATCTAACACCAACAAACATTCAAACACTGACAAATACAATAATATGACAAACCATTCCTGACAAAATCGAATACCAACAAATCCGGGTCCATCATCGTGTGTCTCAAAACCTGCTATTTTCGACATAGCTTTTGCTTATAATTCAGCACCGACTGTCAATGCTATTGCTTTTTTGTATGTTATTAATTATTAAGACCGAAATTCATAGCCCTCTTAACAGTATATTGCAAACAAGAACACCAATCGCTTCACATCTCATGCTCTCTTCTCAGGATAGCCACATGAGAGAATTTGAATTTCTCTATGCAGATTTCGCCTTTTCAAATATTATTCATCTCATAAGAAGGGTACGCGCTTTAGATGTTCCCTTTCTGTTAAGTAATCTTTCCAGCATGCCTAGTTCTCTGTCTTTGTGGTTTGTAACTTAAATCATTTAACAAGTTTAAACAGTTGACGCATGAATTGCCACAGGCATTGGCTGCATGCCACTAGTATCATTGTCGACGCGCGATGTCTTCCTGTCCAGGCTGGTTTGGACTTTTGACCAGATTGAGACATACAAGACACTAACGTTTTTTACTCAATTCTGGTATTTCCTATCCTAGGAAAAGACCCCTAATATTTTCTCGTAAATACGAATCATGAAAATAAATGGAGGAAATCCGAGTACAGATCAGGCGGACAGCTTGGTTCATTCATGGATGTAATCCAAGGGCTTACTTCCTCCGTTATTCGGGGAAAACCTGTTAATAACAGGCTGAAGTTATCCATTGGCTTAATTAATTAAGCACCGTGCCATCAAGACGTATGGAGAATGAAGGTATAGCTCCACCATTCTTGATCTCGGCACTGGATAGAGGTGAGTGGTTAGCTTCACAACTGTGATGCTTTAACCTCTCAGATACAGAGGGCGAGTAGGCCACAGAACCGGTCTGGGCGCTATAGAGAAGAGAAAAATGTCTTGGCCCTACTGGAAATCGAACACCGATTCTTTGGTAATCCACACCGTAGCCCAGTCGCTGTCCGTCGCTGACCGACTGAGCTGTCATCAAGTTGTGTTTGTAGAAGAAGTACCAACCTATTAAGAATTGAGGAAGTCATACTATGTAGGACAATGTTGTTCCCCTTACGAATCACTTAACTATGAAGATATATGAGGATCGAAAGCAGAGTGAAAAAGTGCCGAAACGGGCAGGAGATCTTTACCCTGGAAGAACCGTATCTCGTCTAAAGTGAAAATTTTCGTCTTCAGTAGCTGCGAGGGAAATTGGAAGCCCCTATGTAACAGCACGCAAAGATGGCTGTAGTTCTTGGTAACTTGGTGCGGAGAAGTCCGGGTAATGTGTCGGTTGGAGGGAAGATTCTGCTGCAAAATGCAGGATCGCTATATTTTTCGAAGTAAGGAATTAGTTTCGTTTATACATTTGTAAGCACACACTGCAGGTGTAAATATGTATGTCGTGGCTTTGGGTTCAACAGCAGTCCCGGGTTTGTATTAATGGTACATACCGACCGCAATTAAATTGTTCATTTAATTTTCAGATACTTAGAAGTTGTGCTTGAGCACTGAATGGACTGTGTTACATTACATGACGCTAGGCAATATTGACGTACGTTGCGTATTTCGGTAAATTTAAAAAGGAAAATATTGGCTAACTGCAAGGATTGTTTTGTTCCAATAGCAGTTTCAACCTCAGAAGGTCTAGGATCAGGTACTAACGGCTCAGCTCTATGTGTTTTTATCTGCCTAACATCACTGACCCTATGTACATTCAGTAACAGAGAGAAGTAGTTTTTCCACCTATTCAGAATGTTGTGGGAGTCTGCAAGTAAATCACCATTCTCATCCATCACTAAGTTACTTCTGGGTTGGTGACCCTTCTTAAAGTAATTTATTCCTCTAAACAGGTCTCTAATGTTCTTGTTCTTACTGTTTGTTGGAAGCTCATCACTTGTGTCATTCAGTTATACCCTCTTTTTAATCCTGAAATGCCTTCTGGTTATGTGTCTTTTTATTGTTCAGATTATCCCCATTTATTTCACTTGGATCCTGTAACCACTGCAATTTGGCTTGTTTCCTTTGGTCTGGGAAGCTGATATCACACTTATCAACTTGATAATTTTAACTCATGGTATAAAACGAATGAGTTTAAATGCTGACAAAAACAAACTTCATGAAATTAGCAGCAAAACATGTGTTAATGAAAGTGTAGGTTGTGAAAAGAAACAGATGTAGGAGGAACAACAAAATTCCTTGGTCTAAAAATTGGCAATAGCTTAACTTGAAAAACACACTTAATACATGTTTAATGTCTTACTGGTGTGAGGACAGTCACATAAGTTATGAAGATAGCACAGCTATATCATGCTGTACGGAGTAATCTTGTGGGGAGGAGGAAGTTATGTAACACCCAGAAGAAAATCGTTAGAATAATTCCAGGCTTTAAAAACTAATATCTTGTAAAGAATTATTGTTTAAAGAGTTTCCAGTATTAGTCGGTAATAACTTTATTTGAAGACATACGGCTTAGTTACACTCATCCCCCCACTGAAGTAATTTCCTTTCTTGAGAAGCAATGCACCACTGCCATCACCTTTTCCACTTTTTGCAGCACTATTTGATGGATATTTGTTCAACCACTCAGTATGTCTGTCGTGTTTATAATGCTATTGTTTGTTGGTTGAAGCCTTATTCCCTGCATGGTCATTTTTATTTTGGGTCATGGAAATAAATCTGGAGGGGATAGGTCAACTGAATAAGGAGGTAGTAGAAGTACAGGAATTGAACACTTTGCCAAGAACTCTCAAATGGACAGCAATGCATGAGCTATTGCATTATCCTGGAGGTGCCACAGTTCTGTAATCCACATTCTTTAGTAATTTTCTTCATAGTGAATGCCTTGCACATCTTCAGTGATTGATAAGCCTGCCAGAAGAAACTCATGATGGATAGTGCTGTAATATTTGATAAGAAATAATCAATATTGTTTTCACTTTTGAGCGAACTTGTCATTCTTTTTTTGGGGCACAATAAATCAGGACTTTTCCATAGTGATAACTTGTTTTGTTTCAGTATTTTACCCATAAACCCAGTTCTCATCCCCAGTGATGAAGTTTAAAAAAAATTGATCGCCATTGCAGAATGTTTTTGCAAAATGAAACACATTGACTTGTCTGATCTTCAGTGAGGAGTCTTGACACAAATTTCACTGAGACTTGATGCATCCCCAAATCTTCCATTAGAATTCTATTACTTGCGCCATTGGATGTTCCAGTCTCTTCAGCTACTTCTTGTCCAGTCAGTCAGTGATTTACATGGGTAAAATCTTTCTCTTGGGCAATTAGAAAATTAGTTTTGAAGTTGAAGGTAGGTCCAACCTTTTGTTTCATCAGCTCAGAAGTACTTCTGTTATGGAGACATTTGTGTCATTCATGGGTCATTGTTTTACTCAAAGCCTCTTTGCTGTAAGCTTCACACAAGATTCTTTGGGTCCACAGCTGTTTTACTTAGCTGGACACAAAGTTTCGCACATGTGCTTTGCTTCTTTATGAATATCATATTACAGAGCCACAAAACCAAAATTACACAATAGTGCAGACAGTTATAACGCTTCCAAAAATTAATTTTTAATTGTAACTGTTGTTATAGTCACATCTGTGAGCCATTCCACAGTCACATCCATATGGACATGACTGAAGACACTCCATGTTACAATTGTAACTATTGTAATTTTAATGAATTAACTTGACTTGTCCTATATCATGTACAATGATCTACAGTGATGAAATCAATCAATCAATCAATCAATCAATCAATCAATCATGCAGTCATTCTAGGAACTTTTTGAACAAACTTTCTACATCTCCTCTCCAGCAAATTGTTTCCCTCTTTGCCGTCATTCATGGTGAACAGCATGGAGAAGATTAAAAAAATGGACATGCACAATATAAACTCAAGACCTAAACATGACCTCCATATGCTGAGTACTAAGATATCAGAAAGGAGTGTGCTATACAGCAGTCAAGTTATTCAGTAATCTTCCATCTGTCATTGAAAGCTATGTCATAGTGTGAAAGTATGAAGCCAGTGCAAGAAGATTATCTCTTATATCACCCCTAGTGTGCAGAAGAGTTTGCTATAATTGGCAGTTTTTAAGTATTATAAATAGTAAGTAAAGGTATCCCTGTAACAGGCTATGGAGACCAATAGGGTTGTGAGATGTTGAGGTCCCACATTTTCTAGACAGTCAGCTCATAAATGGTGGTAGGTTGTCAGCCTTATGTGTCGGTTGCCCTTTACCCCTAAGAATATTGCAAGAATATTCCTGGCCTCTGTTAGAGGCTGAGTTGGCACCAGGGCCATAGTGCAACTGGAAGGATTAGGTCAATTAAAAAATCCACCTCCTGTACTTAGAAAATAGTACGTAGACATAATTATTTTCCCCTGTATGTAAATAGTCATAAAAACCAACATTTATTTATCATTTCATGGATCCAATCATCTCCCCATAGGACTGGATATAAAACATGTCACATATTACAAATTTATGATGACTACACATTGTTTGTTCTTGGTCCAATAAAATATAAAATCAAGCCTGAGACAGAATAGCTCAAGTTGTCAGGACAACACACACAGGTCATGGAGAAACCACAATGAAATTCACACCTTGCCATTCCACACATGCTGGCAAGCCATATCATCCAAACAGTTACATTGTAAAATATTAAAATTCATAACAAGAAACAGACATCATACATACTACTACACTTACAAACAAGCAAGTCTCAACAATATATAATTCACACACACAGTCCAGTTATTAACTCTTAACTTTTGAGCCACTTACATGCTTGACAAATTCATCAATTGAGTAAAATGCGTTACTTTGCAAATAATTTCGTAGAACAAACCTAAATTGTTTTTTATCATTTTTTTTTAATTTATATTTGATGACAGAGTGTTAAATAGCTTGACGCTTGAATAATACACCCCCCTCTGATAGGATGATAAATGTGTTGAATGTATATGAAGGTGGTCATTCCTTCTGGTACCAGTGACATATACAGAGTTATTGGTTTGAAACAACAAATATCATCAATGAGAGCAAATATACACATGGGATTGGTAGTATGTCAAGCTTTTTAAATAAATCTCTACATGTATGATTTGGGCCCACTCCCATCATTATTTTTATTATTTTCTTTTGTATAACAAAGACTTTATGACTGTCTGATGTATTTCCCCAATATATTCATATTTCACCAGTCAATGATAATATGCATAATATACAGCTTTAAGACTATTTATATTTAATATATAGGATAATTTACACATTAGAAAACCAACTGTGCTCAACTTGTGAAGCAAAAAATTGATATGTCCCTTACAAGTTACATGATTGTCCCGCTGCAAACCGATAAATTTTGTCGTTTCTACTTCTTTCATCTTTTTGTTAAAAAAGAATGTACATAGAGGGTAGCTTGTAGCTGCTATTGGGGTGAATTTTATCATTTTTGTTTTATCCAGATTTAACACTAATTGATTATTTTGAAACCACAAAAACGTATGATTGAAAACAACATCCAGTTTTGTTTTTAAATTATAGTAGTCTTTAGCTGTGCAAAAAATACTTGTGTTATCTGCAAACATAATAACTTCCGAAATTTTACTTATTTCAAGGGGGAAATTGTTTATGTATATATTAAAAATTAAGGGTCCCAACACCGATCCCTGAGGCACACCACATCCAACAATTTCCCAGTTAGAATAATATTTATTATTTATAAAATTTAATTTCAGTCTTTGCCTCCTATATTTGAGGTAAGATTTGAACCATTGCAATAATACACCCTGCATTCCATAGTACTGCAGTTTCATCAATAGAAGATCATGATTAACACAGTCAAAGGCCTTAGCTATGCCACAAAATGTGTCAGTTACCTACTCTTTTCTATTCCAAGCTGTAAGTATTACATTCGTTGACTTAAACATTGCATCTTCGGATGATAATCCCTTTTGGAATCCATACTGCTCTGAAAGTAATATTTTATGTTTTACGATATGATCATTGAGTCTTCAAAAAATTGCTGTTTCAAAAACTTTTGCAAACCCAGTTACTATAGATATTGGGCTGTAGTTACTTATAACAGCCTTTTCCCCTTTTTTGTATACTGGCTTAATAATTGCATATTTTAATCTTTCTGGATATAGACCCATGGTTAATGACTTATTAATTACATAAGTTAGATGTTTGCTGATTTGTTGTCTGCACAGTTTCATAATTATAGCTTTGTTACACCATCATACCCTGAAGAGTTTTTTGATTTTAATTTGCTAATTATACTAATTATTTCCTCTTCTGCAACTAAATTAAGATTCATATCTGGAATACCATTTGAGAAATGGGAATGCAAGTATGACATTGCAGTATAAATATTAGTTTTCTCAATATTAAGAATTTCTGTTATTGTTGTGTAATATTTATTAAAACTATGAGCTGCTGCTTCAGTATTTATTTTTATTATTATTTTGAAAAGTCTGTGGTAGCCATTCTTTATTCTGATTGTTAGTTATACCTGTTTCAGTGTTGATAATGTTCCAGGTAGTTTCTTTTTTCAGCTGATGTGATTAACCGATTATAATATTTCCTTTTAGCTTCTCTTATTAATCTTCTTAATATAATGCAGTAGGATTTGTAGTATGATTTAAACAAATAGTTGTAACTGTTTCAACAGAGAATGAACAAGGATTCCTTCCGTCTACAGCAGGGGTCGGGGAACTTTTTTACTTATTACCCCAAAATATATTTATTTACGCCGACATTACCCCCTTGATTTGAAATAGAGAAAATCATAGATTATTCAAATTCAAAAGGTTTATTGAATCTATTTATATGGAGAATACAATTATCAATATAAAAAGTATAAAATAAATGCGATAAAATACGAGTAAATAAATTATGAAACAAAAGGATTTCTTAGAATTTTTTTTTTTTTTCCACTTCAGGTTTTGGAGAAATGGTGTTGTTTCATTTTTGATACAATAACATCAAAATTGGGACATTTTGATGTCAGAGCAATTTGCATACTGTCTTCGGGGTCCAATCGATTTCTCTACTTTGTTTTTATGTTCAGTAGAGTGGAAAATCCTTGTTCGCAAAGGTAGATTGTTGCAAAGGGCAGCTTTTTGACTGCCTCCTCATGTGCAATTTTGAAAGCATTTGCAGCTCTTAACATCTGAAAATATGACAGATCTGCTTTGTTTTCAAATTCAATACGTTCTTCATTATTGGATCGAAGTTCAAAAAGTGCCTCTGCCAAACCTTGAGGCTTTTCTGGTGCATCAGCAATTTCACATTTAAAGGGATCTACAACCCAACTGACATTATGTGAATCAAGATCTCGAAAGTAATCATCGAACCGCTTTTTGAGTTTGGTAAGATGCCTTATAACTGTGTCCTTGATGTCATTAAAA